AAGGCATGCTGTAACGGCATGAACCACCTAACTATATAAGTGAGCGCAGTACTAAGCCTGTCGGCTTAGTATCCTAGTCTTTTGCTCCTGACGCAGCGGTTATCTCTCTGGAATGCGCCCGAGATGAGTGGCCGTGACACATGCTCACCACCTTTACAGCCGCGTAAAACGGCCTTATCGAAGTGCAGTGCCTGTAGAAATGAAGGGCATAGAAGAAATGCATGTCCAAATAGACCTAGATAGCTTAGTTTTAATTAATTGCCGTTTTGGTTGATATAAATACATTAAAATACTACTAGATATGGGGGGTGGAGTGGCGGCTTGGTGGTGCTGACGGCTCGGTCGTGGATTACGTTACAATGGCAAAACCTAATATATTAATCTTTGTGTAGATGTGCATCATGTGCTTAATAGAATTGAAATATACTAAGATAGGTACTAGAAGGAAGTATTTAAGTTTTTAGAAGATATTATAAGTTTCTTCTAGTAGCGTAAAAATTTTATAACGATTTTCTTTTTAATAGCCCTCTTCATGAAATTAGTATAAGAGGTTATCTTATACTAATTCTTAACGAATAATTGATAGAAACCTAAGGCTATGGGATTGCTTAGCCCGCCGGCAGTAGGCTGAAAAGCTGCCCGAGCGCTGCGAGGGGCCAGCGGCTTGTAAATAATATAAGTATAGTCATGCCCTTCAGGCTAATAAATTTATTAATAATATTTTAAATATTAAAGTGATAGGAGCCTTAGTAAGATTTCTAAAAGGTCTAATGTGATGGTCTCTGGCAATAGCAATTTATTGGTAGACTATCTGACAAAATACTAACATGAGAAGAGAAAGGAAGAGGGCAGAGCCTGCTGCCAATGAGCTATCTAGTGTGTGTAAGGGGGCTTGTGCCCTCAGGCCAAAGTAATCAAACACGCCATACAACTAGCAGGCGTCCGTGCTCCGTGATATCTAATTTATCTTTTAGTTAAGATACTATTAATATACTTCCTTCCCATCTGACCTGTGACAGAGCAAATCCCATGTATATAGACCCCATCGGACACAAATCCCACCCCTTGGGGGTGGGTAGAGCATGCATAGTCTTAGACTGGAAAATGCTCTATAAAATGGAAGACATCATCATTATATTAATATACTTCTAAAGTATACTGTATTGCATTTTATTTCTCTAAGAGATTATTAAAAAAAATTAATAAAGTGGCTGGATATTTTTAATTAATCTTTATAACTTTTGTGAAAAAAAAAAGATTATTTTCACTTCTTTCATTGGTTTTTTATCTTTAAGAATTAGAAAACTTAAATTAATCATAGATTTCTTCTAGCCATATTCTGAGATTTAAACCAGTGTACGATTTTAAAGTTACTCAAATATCTTGGTTGTTATTGAAAGTATATGCATTAGAGAATGAGAAAAATGACTTAAAGTTCTTGCTAATATTAGATAGCTGAATCTACTATTTTTTTTTTTTTTAAAAAAAAAAAAAAAAACAAATTCTATTTCAAAGAGTGATTATTATTATTCTTTAGTCAGTTTATTGTCACTGGATTCCCTAGAGATAGTAATAAGAGATTTAAATTTATAAACTTACTATAGGTTACTCCTTAAAGATTGCATACTCTAAAGATATAATACAGAGTTCTTTGCTAAGTCTATTTTAATAAAGAGTAATCAGAATTGTAAGACTGTAGATTAAAAAAGTGAAATAATAGTTAACTGTATCTGATATTTTATCTGACCAGATTTAAGTTTATATATATTCTACTCTAATGGGATAAAAGTTCAAATAGTTCTTGATTCCTTATAAAAGCCATGAAATTTAAGTAATGGTGTATATTCACTGTCTAAAGAAGCTAGATATTTTTTTAAAAATATATTTTTTTAAACTTATTTTTTGCTGTAGCATTAAGTAGTGAAAGATAGATGGCATATACAGCCAATCAAGTATAGAGGAGTAGTAACTGCCTTCATCAGACAAGATATCAGACATCAAAGTGCTTCAGAGTAATCTGATGTTTGATACTTTGATGCCCATCAGCCAATCTGCAATCATAAGCAATAGGCTGATGTGGGGCATCTAATGACCAAAGTATTAGACGGTTGCGGGTTGACTGCCCCTAGTATAGCAAGTGTCACGGGCTCGGAAACTAGCAGATAAAACGAATAATATTCATATATAGACTAGGTAGCCTAGCGACGAGAATATCGAATCTGGGGAAGAAGAATAAAAGGAAATCTATCTAGACGATGAACGGTCTTTATAGACATTTGTGTGGTGCGGCTTAAGCCCTTGTTTGCCCATATTGCTTGTATGGCATCGTTTGATATGTTGGCGCTGTTTGTCTGGCGTTGAGCCGTTGAGCCGTCACGGTAAGAACCAAGTAATGAGTAGGGAGGAGGGAGTGCCAGGTTATAATCAAGGGTGGTATAATTATATACAAAGACCAGATGAAGCCCAGCAGTACAAGGATATAGGAACGAGAGTCAGGCGACTCCTACTATAAAGTATTTCCAGGGCCCCAGGCCCTAATCTGTACTGCAAGGTTTCACACTCAACCAGGTCCAATAATCCAATTTTTAATATTTTTTTCAATATTCACTATCAAACAGCTCCAGTTTTATTGCAGAGCAAAGCTCCGCAGTCTACTGTGGCTTCCAAAATATCAAAGCCCAACACTGATTGGGCCCTGCATTTGTTGCAACATGGCTTGAGTTGAGAATTAAGATACAGTTACCATTTAATACCATCTGTGCATTTTTACTCGTATAAGAAGACTTTTCACAAACTATTCTCTGTCACGGAGCTCAGCTAAGATAATGGAACTTCCTTCTCATGGGTTCTACCTAGGTAGCTATCGACGAGAATAATCAACATGAGGAAAGAAGAAGAGGAAGGATGTGCCATCAGCGTTGACGAGACTTATATCCCTTGCTTCCAGCACGTGAGAGGTATACACGTGACCAGACCGTCACACTCTGCAATCCCCTCTGTTCATTCCCATTGCACAAACAGTCTTCGGAGCGGCGACGTATGCCTTTGGCGGTGGTTAACTAAATTGTACCACCACTCGGGCACTATAGTAAATTGCACAGATCGGTGTAAGGAATAGCAAAACCAGCAAATAAATTCCTCGGCTCAATTTGATCTTCTGGAGAATCCAGCAAGTCTGCGACAGATTGGACCGCAACCTATGTGTTGTACGTCTTACAGATGAAACTAATATATATGCCTCTGTACCTAAGATAACGCTGTAGTGCCCTGATCCTTGGCTCCTTGTGCCTGTACTCTGTAGCAAGCAAGCATACGTCATTGTAGAGGATGGGTCCAATCAGAAGAATGGAGTAAACGGAATGTTGATCATATGACCGGCACCTTTTAACGTGTACGGCTGTACGCCGTAGTCTATGTATGCATGGAGTACTCTGTAGTTTATCACATTGAGAGTTGTTTTCATGACTGTGAAGGGTGGTATAAATCTGTGTTGGTACACATAACGTACACCGATCTCCCAAAAAAGGAAAGCAGGAGAAAAAAGAAAAAAAAGAGGGTTGTAAAGCAAATCATCTCATCACTGACAAGAATATTATTACACACCAGGTACACAGCCAGTCCAATTGAAAATAGCAAGGATAGAACCAAGCATCAGGTGGGCTGATTAGTGGTTGACAAGCAAAGACAGGCCCCATCATCCAATGCGATGAGCCCATCACAGGCCAATATGTCTTACACTGATCGCGACGTTTCTCGCCGGAACGAGGACCTTTCAAAGAGCCATGACACAGCGTCGAATGGCTCGATGACGGTTTCCAGCGAAGATGAGATCGACCCTGAAGAGCATAGAAGGTCCGATACAGCTCCAATGAACCTGCCTGGTGATATCCTGCCAAGAGATAGGCAACAGAAGACGCCTACATATGATTATGCATATGAGAAATCAATGAGCCAAGCTGAAGCGAAGCTTTTCTATCATCATCACCAGTTGGCATCACGAGGTGGTGACCCCGAAGACTTGCAGACTCCAGCGAGCCCTAGTCACCACAGCGGCAATATTGAAGCAAAGGACCAAAAAATGCCGATTATGGAGAGCAAAGATCAAATGTCTGCAGGTGCCGTAAGTGACTTCCTCGAACCGCAGTCTGTCCGGCCCTTGCAAGCTCTAGCGCCTACCGGCCAACAGACTTCTCCAGCGCCCAAGTCTGAAGGAAACCTCAATGCTGCCGAGCAATTGTCTAAAATTCATGCATCGCACTCTGGTATTAATTCCGAACAAAAGCCCTATCATTCATCAGCGGGTGGCATTCAAACACCCAATCCATGGCTGGGACCCTCTCAAGATACAATGAATCTCAGGTCTGATAGTGACGCGGTCGCAACTGAGTTAAATGCCATATACAGCAAAATACGAGGGTTGCTTGATCGCAGGTCACATTATATCCGACTTTCGGTACAAGGGGACGGTGATAACCCGAAAGACCATACTAGTTGGGGGGTTTATCCGCCACCCCCAGAGCCAGCCTGGGATGGTGAAAAGGACACAGGGAACCCCGGGGATCCTTGCCATGGGAGTCAGAAACGAAGGAAGATGGGCCAGGACATTGGAGAAGACTTTGACATGGCAGAACTTATGCCGCTCCCTGGGGAATCAGACGAAGTTTTCGGGTTTGATCAGAACAGTGTGTACCAGGTCTACGAAACGGCTGAGGCAGCGGATTTGCGTGAGCCTATCGTGCAAATACCTTCATTGCGTGACTTTTACATGGATCTTGAGGCTGTGATCGACGTATCTTCGGATGGGCCTGCCAAAAGCTTTGCTTTCAAACGCCTTTCTTATCTTGAAGGGAAGTTTCAGCTCTACGCATTGCTGAATGAATATCAAGAAATGGCCGATAGCAAGAAAGTACCTCATCGCGACTTTTATAATGTTCGAAAAGTTGATACACATGTTCACCATTCAGCTTGCATGAACCAAAAACATCTTCTTCGATTCATCAAAAGCAAAATGAAGAAGTCACCAGACGAAGTCGTTCTTTTCAGAGATGGGAAACATCTAACATTGAGAGAAGTATTTGAGAGTATCAAACTGACTGCCTATGACCTGAGTATAGATACGCTTGACATGCATGTGAGTTCGATCTAATTAACGTGGCTCGGGAATTGAGTTGCTAAAGACCTTTTTAGGCGCACACTGATTCTTTTCACCGATTTGATAAATTCAATCTCAAGTATAACCCTGTGGGAGAGTCGCGACTACGTGAGATTTTTTTGAAGACAGACAACTACATCAAAGGCCGTTACCTGGCGGAGATAACCAAAGAAGTCATATCCGACTTGGAATCTAGCAAGTATCAAATGGTGGAATGGCGTATTTCGATTTACGGAAGATCAGTACAGGAATGGGACAAGCTTGCTGCCTGGGTAATAGATAACAAGCTATTCTCGCCGAATGTCCGCTGGCTTATCCAGGTCCCTCGTCTTTACGATGTGTACAAAGCGAGTGGTATGATGGAGAATTTCGAACAAGTCATAACGAATGTCTTTCGGCCATTGTTCGAGGTAACAAAAGACCCTCGCAGCCACCCCAAACTGCATGTTTTTCTTCAACGTGTTGTTGGATTTGACAGCGTCGACGACGAAAGCAAAGCGGAGCGTCGTTTCTACCGGAAATACCCGGTGCCAAGGGACTGGGATACAAAACAGAACCCGCCGTATAGCTATTGGATCTACTTCATGTTCGCCAATATCGCGTCTCTCAATATCTGGCGTAAAAGACGCGGGTTCAATACCTTCGTCCTCCGGCCGCATTGTGGGGAGGCTGGAGACCCTGATCATCTTGCAGTGGGATTTCTTTGCTGCCACAGTATCAGCCATGGGATATTACTGCGAAAGGTTCCATTACTACAATACCTGTTCTACCTTGATCAGATCGGTATTGCTATGTCGCCGCTCAGTAACAATGCGCTGTTCCTTACCTATGACAAGAATCCATGTGCCAGTTTCTTCAGACGAGGTTTGAATATATCTTTGTCTACCGACGATCCATTGCAATTTGCCTTCACCAAAGAACCATTGATTGAAGAATACTCGGTTGCTGCACAGATATACAAGTTCAGTGCAGTAGACATGTGTGAGCTTGCTAAACATTCAGTTGAGCAGAGTGGGTTCGAGCTGTCTTTGAAAGAAAGGTGGCTAGGCGACAATTGTTGTTTGCCGGGCGTTGCTGGAAACAATGTCGCCAAAAGCAATGTCCCTGATATACGCGAAGCATACAGACATGACACTTTACTTGCAGAGCTGATGCTGTAAGGTCCTACCAATCTAGGCCATCTGCCTATTCAGAACAAAGTGAGCTGATAAATTGGTCACAAGGATTGCAAGATACTCTGCATCTGCAGTCGCCAGCAGCATAACAGACTCGGCAAATCGCAACCTTCCCGTGAACCTGTCACAGACTACATATTCATCTCCATTGATCCCCAATATGCCAAACTTTCACGGTACGTTGCACCTATTCCACCCTTCTGCGAGGCAAATGAATGACATCTATAGCTTCTTCCCAAGTAGCCGCTGCTGAGGGCCTAGCCTGTTCATCAGGCCCCGGTACTGGATCGATTCCGAACAACCCTCAATATCTATCTCAAACTGGGGTTCAGAGTCCGGTTACTACAGCGAACCTTCTCGGCCAGGACCCACAAACTTCCCAGTCGTCAGGCCATTTTCTTAGTGAATCTCCTATGTTAGCCAGTGGTACTGGTTCTGCAGGGCCAGCATCCACTGGAACCGACAACTTGCCAGAGCAAAAGATCTTCCCCGGTGTTGTGCACGAACGAGCCCAAAGGAGCAGCAAGTTCAATCGTCCAGCAGCAGAAGATGGTAAAGGCCAATAGCAGCTAGCAACTTAGAACAGTTCTTTCAGCCTTCAATAATAATATCAATTCATATTATTGACATAAAAGGACAAGAGAAGGTGAGGCGTATGCAGAATAGTCAAACTTGAACGGCACAGCATCTCAAGAAATGTGATCATATTAGCAGGGGAATCGTACATGTGACCGATTTTAACCCTAAGTAGCTACCCTGATACTAGCAATCCAACCAAAAAAAAAAAAAAAAAGAAAAAAGAAAAGGGCATGCTCAATGCAAAAATTGAAGGAATTATATTATGCTGCCCAAATTCAATATTCCCACTCACCCCACGCCTCAATAATATCACTGTCATCTTCAGCTACCCAAGGCTGCTGTCTTGTCCATTCCTGTATATACACGCGTAAAGCTAACCAGCGCATGCACGTCTGACCAGTAGACCATATGCTCCCAGGAGTGCCTTCGATCACACCAACATAGCCCTTAGAATCAGTGTGCAAGTCATCTTGTCGAAGGTCATTTACAGGTATGCTGGAAATTCTGCTGAGCTCATGATCATAGCAATGTGCAACACACGGATAGCCTAACGAAAGGTAATTATAAATCTGCGTAACAAACCCATCGTGGATCTCATCGTTGAATTCATCCTGAGGGTTGAGCTTCCTGTCCACGTCATCAGTATACCTATGTCTTATGGAAGGGTGAAAGGGATGTCGATCTCCGTACTCAGATGTTACATCAGAGGACGCGGAAGATTCATCCTTATGACCCCGGACGGGTATTATCGATTCTGTTAGGATTAATTCGTGTAGATTCCCATCACTCTCACTGCCTCTGCGGCATGTTCCCATCCAGAGACCATCACCACGGTTGTCACCAACGTTTAGGTTTGCACTCCACAACCCCCCATGGTCCTGACATGGTTGATCCACATTTATTCGCTGATGGCGAGTAGCATTTCCAATATCATTTATCGTTCTTTCAGGAGATAGGCTTCGGGGGAAAACAATGTCGTTTCCAAGCAAGGGTGGGCTCGTAGGGCACGTCACAGTAACACCGCTTTGCCAGTCTTCATCAACATCGTCCTGAATTTCTCGGACAGTATCTATAACCTGATGAACTGCGGTCGATGTACCCCCTTCTTTGGCCTCGACCATGGCCAGACCCTTCGACTTCGCTTCGCCCATGTGTCGTCGGCAGATGTGTTGGAATTTCCGCGACAAGTCATCAGAGGATGTACCATGAGAGGTAGCAATCCGCTCCTTCTCGGTGTAGGGAACGGGCTTTCCGTTGTAACTTGTATCAATGGAAGAATGGCTTATGTTTTGAGAAACTTGTTCATCTGGGAAAGCCGCAAACGTTTGCTCTTTTAATTGCTTGTTGGTTGATTGTGCAGCCAATGAAAGTAGATACGCCGAAGACTGTTCGTCACAGCTCTCCCGACGCTGCTCTTCAAGTTTGGGTTGGTTTATTGAGTCATTTGTTGATGCAGATGAAGATAGTGACGGCAGACCCAAACCACTGGAATCCTCGCTATAGTCGGAAGTAATTTCGGAGAGGCTTGAAATGTTGACTGGGTAACTCTTCTGAATACCTCGATGAGCCAGTGATGAACATGAGGACTGGTCACCGACAGTATCTATATATGTATCTTCTGCCTGCAACTTTGGCGGGTCACTATGATATCGATCATATGAGGTGTCTCTGCGAAACGAACGCCTGGCAGTTTCTATGAGCTGGGGTGTAAATCTTCTCGGTGGAATTGCAGGTGTGAAGTTGTGTGTAGGAAAGAATGGTTTTGGTTCAAATTGAACTCGTCGGTAATTCATTCGCATTGTTTCAACCGGCTGTCGCGCTTTAGAACCTCCATACCGCACGCACCTAGCGAAAAACAATGTCCCGGAATGTTTGCTCTGTAGTATGCGAGCAGGTAGTTCTAGCAGATTTGATACCGACTCGGCCCCTTTCTTCAAATGCGAATCTATCGCTGCCTTCTAATCCGACGTCCGTGGTCTCGATTCTTTCGCCGATGTTTATAGCTGATGGGAACGTTTTGATGAGGCAAGGTGAAAGTCTTGAGTTCATAAGATCGAATCGGACGTGGTCTGTACTTGTATAGGAAAATGAGAAAATAATAAGGAAAAAGTTGATGATCAGTTGAGGGAAAGTTTGCTTGTCATTTGGGCCGCGCCTTCCTTCTACTAGTGTACGAAATAAAGAACAGTGGCACCCCTGAAGCACACTGAAATCTGAGAACCAATGATTTGTGTGGACAATTTAAGGGGGCAAAAGAGTTTACTCCGTGCACAAAATACCGAACGAGGAACATTCGTCGGTCACCCTGTACTCCGTACTATGTACTCCGTATGTTCATGGGGGCTTGTATGGAGTACTTCGCATGGAGTACATACCTTAGTATGGAGTATGGATCCGGAGTTATGGAGCACGGAGTACTCTCCTATCCAACCTAGTGGCAACTATTGTCATGAAAGTGCATACCCGAGTACGACAGGAGTAATTGAAGCTCTCTACGGAGTACATAGTACTCTATATTGTAGGTACACAGTCTGCCGTCCATGAGCTAGTTCACTACCATGTAGTAAGTGTTTCCAGACACATGTACGGAGTACGGAGTACAGGAACCGAGAGATATAGATAGTAATAAGTACAGTACGGATAGCGCTCGGAGTATGACAGGGGTAAGCGGGTACGCTGGCGTAATACAGTACACATGGGGAATAAAAAAAATATCCAATGATATTCGCTATTGCTAGAGCAAATGGAGTGCTATGAAGTCAGAGTCCGTATCATTGTATGATACCATTATACTCCGTACAGGCCACATGTACTGTAGTCTTCTATCCAACCTGACATCTACACCAGTACTTTACTATACTGTCAAATCAACCATATCATAGGTCCTTTCATTATCAGAGAATCACCTTTTTGTCGCCTGGATAACAGACCTCCAGCACTCAATTCTAGAGAGCTGTCCTCTGGTTAGTCAACCCCGCCTCAATGTGGCTGCCTGTACTATCATACAATTGTGCTGACTACCAGATATCTACTCTTAGATAGTTGTCGACCTCTTCGCGCTTCATGACATTATTTTTCTAACTGCCTTCATATCCTCGGAGTGCATTATTCTGTTGAACAACTCTTCGCCATGGCGACTGTAAATTTGTCAACCAATGGTCCTTCGATATCGAAGAGCTATCAGACTGTGGTCAATGCCACCCTTCCTACCGGTCCTGCAAGCTCACCAACGTATGCTCAATGGGCTGTTTTCTCCGTTTCCTCCCCACTTGTCAATGTTTTCCAGCAAGATTCCGGAAACAAGGAGAGTGTTTTGAAGGTTCAGAGCAGTGGAGGTTGGTTTTCCATTGTATCAGTAGAGTTGGTATAACGGCTGACAGATCTATTTCAAAGACGGTGAATTACTTGATCTTATTGACGAGTTCTCAGAGGGGAAAGTGCAGTTTGCATTTGTGAAGGTTCGGGATCCGAATACTGGGCTTCCCAAAAACGTCCTCATCGCATGGTGTGGAGAAGGTGTGCCTGAACGAACCAAAGGATACTTTACCAGCCACCTGGCGGCGGTCTCTAAGTTTTTACATGTTTGTTGACCTCAAATTCCAGTTACTCCAAAAAAAATCACTGACCAGATTTCAAAGGGCTACCATGTTCAAATCACCGCTCGTTCCGATGGCGATCTAACCCCTGAAGGAATCGTACAGAAAGTTGCAGATTCGTCAGGCTCCAAATACTCCTCGGCGACCGAGCCCCCTGTGGTAACTGCCACTCCCAAACCCCCAATCGCAACAAAGCCCGTTTTTACCCCGGTTCGCACTGGTGGTGCCGGGCCAAGCCCGGCACCACGTATTTCGAGACCTGGAGTTGCTAACAGGGACGTTGACGATGATGGATGGGGGGCTGATGCACCACCTGTTACCAGGACACAGCTTGAGAAAGTCCAGCCAGCATACGCGCCTACAAAAGTGAACATGCAAGAACTTAAATCCGGGAGACAGGCAACGACGGAAAACAGCGCTGAGCGACCCGCTCAGGATAGTGGCGATGTTGTCAAGGGCGGATATCAACCAATTGGCAAAGTGGACATTGCTGCCATACGAAGACAAGCACGTGAATCGGGGGAGCTTAAGGATGAGCGCCCTGCGCCTGTCAAAGGCGCATACGAGCCTGTTGGTAAAGTGGATATAGCTGCTATCCGTGCGAGGGCACAGCCGTCAAGTGATGCTACAGCATCCGCTGGAGCCAACGCTAGCGATTTGGCTGACTCTCAAAGGGACAATGAGCCTGCAGCGACGCTTGCTACAGCGCCTAGTTCCTCTGCGCGCCTGACAAGTCTACCCAAACCAAAAGTATCGAACAGAGTTGCTGCGAGCCCAGCATTCACGGGAACAAAGCCACCTGTGCCCACCGATGCTGTGTCAAACCCACCTGCTGCTGCTGCTTCGCAAGTGGGTAGTGCAAGCAGAACCTTTGCTGATGAGGGTGGCAAGACACCTTCCCAACTGTGGGCGGAAAGGAAGGCCAAGGCACAGGGTGCCGGTGGTGCGCCAACCGAACAGCAGGGCGGAAATGTAAACACCGGTAAAGCCTGGCCACCGGTTCAGACTGCACATACCGGTGCCAGTGATTCTTATGAGCAAACTACCGAGTCGGTTGCAGATATCGAAACCGACGTGCCCCGCCAGGGCGTCGGTGCTATTCGAGACCAGTTTGCTTCAAAGCCAATTGCTTTAGACACGAAGCCCACTGACACACAAAGCACACGACCAGTGCCCATTCCTAACTTGTCGGCCGGTCCTACGGAAACAGAAGTCGACCACGAACCTGAAACCCACCAAAACATCCCGAGCCCTCCTCAACAACCTCGATCGCCAAGTCCCCCATCTCCGCCAGTGCGTGAGGCTTCGCCAATCCGCGTTGCCATGCCTGTGGGACGGGGAGTCTCAGATGCCCATGATGAACAGTACTCACCCCCTCCCGTTTTGCCGTCAGAGAGCCTTCAGCAAGCCGTTCCAGACGAAAGGGACCTTGAAGATAGTACCCATGATATGGGCCGTGCAGTGGCCGAGACTGCCGCAGGACATGGCTTGCAAGCTGGTGGTGGTATTAAAGCCCTTGTGCAATATGACTATGAAAAGGCCGAAGATAATGAAATTGATCTGAAGGAAGGAGAGTATGTGACCGATATTGAGATGGTTGATAAGGATTGGTGGTTGGGTATGAACACCCATGGCGAGAAGGGTCTATTTCCGAGTAATTACGTTGAAGCTGTGGAGGACGACCATCCGGTTGAACCAGCATCAGAGTCACGGGAATATGGGCACGAAGCAGACGTTCCAGCGGCTTCAGCTGACCAGCCCGCCGCTCCCTCATCAGTGCAGGATGCAGTGAAGGGACCGACGGCCGCAGCATTGTACGACTATGAAGCTGCGGAAGATAATGAGTTGAGCTTCCCAGAAAATGCTGAAATCACCAAGATTGTAAGTCACCCTGCTCTCCATACTATCACGTCGTATACCATGTCGTCGTCAGGCATCTTCTATTAAAAATTCGCTTCACTTTTGTCCTTGAATAGAGGATTTATGGCTAATATTATTGATTTCTAGGAATTCCCCGACGATGACTGGTGGCTTGGGGAGTATGGCGGTAAGAAGGGCCTGTTCCCAGCCAACTATGTCCAGCTTAACGACAGCTGAAGATAAAACTCCAAGGTGGTTTTGTGTAAAACAGCAGACTGTTTGCTTTACAGATTATATCCAGTTTGTTAGCTGAACCTACAATTATTTTGTTTCATATCAAAGGAGATTTTTTTTTGTAGTGCTTGGGTATGTAATTGTGGATATTGGTAATCACGTGAGACCACGTCAAGACGCTCGAAATTGCAACTCCTTATAACCTTGGAAAGTCTCCGACTAGAAGTGCGAGTTTGCTTCGCAGTCCAGTGTACTCGGTACATTGTAGCTACAAGCCGCGGTTTTACAGGGATTGGACGCCTGTCGCTTGACCCTGCTCCCAGTTTTACTTATCTTGCGTTTTCTGATAGTCCCTTCCTCTACCGCATCAAATTTCATAGTGCGTGTCGGCACTCTCCAGAACACACCTTTACTATACAAAAATGGCTTCGCTAGGAGAGGATTTGCTTGTCACTGTCAACAAGCTGCAAGACCTGGTCTTCAATACAATTGGGAGTGACTCTTTGGATTTACCACAGATTGTGAGTTATTTTATCTATTCCATAGCTGAATGACCGGCAATGTAATGGATCATCATTTTAACGCATGTATCAGGTCGTGGTAGGCTCACAGTCGTCGGGCAAATCCTCTGTGATCGAAAACATCGTTGGTAGAGATTTCCTACCAAGAGGGAGTGGCATAGTCACTAGACGCCCATTGATTCTACAACTTATAAACATACCCAGTGAACGCCATGACAGACCTGGTGGTGATGAGGTTCACGTACCGCATACAGCCGCCAGTGTAGCTGGTCAAAATGAATGGGCCGAGTTCCATCATCTTCCAGGTCGAAAGTTTGATGACTTTGCTTCGGTCAAGAAAGAGATCGAAGCCGAAACTGCGAGGATCGCGGGAAGCAACAAAGGGATCAACAGACAGCCCATTAATCTGAAGATATTCTCTCCTCACGTTCTCAACCTGACCTTGGTTGACCTTCCTGGTCTGACAAAAGTGCCAATTGGAGATCAACCGTCTGATATTGAGAAACAAACCCGAACATTGATTCTGGAGTACATTGCGAAACCAAACAGCATCATCCTCGCGGTCTCTCCGGCTAATGTTGACCTTGTGAATTCCGAAGCTTTGAAGCTTGCTCGTCAGGTGGATCCAATGGGCCGGAGGACAATTGGCGTTTTGACGAAATTGGATTTGATGGATCACGGTACGAATGCAATGGATATTCTTTCCGGTCGTGTTTATCCACTTAAACTCGGCTTTATCGGTGTGGTCAACCGATCCCAGCATGACATCCAAGCGGGCAAGTCTCTAGCAGATGCGCTACAAGGCGAAGCCGACTTCTTTCGGCACCACCCGGCTTATCGAAATATGGCAAATCGATGCGGAACGCATTTTCTGGCAAAAACATTGAATACCACCCTGATGGCTCATATTCGTGATCGATTGCCGGACATCAAAGCGCGCCTAAACACGCTCATGGGCCAGACCCAACAGGAGCTCGCCAGTTACGGTAATAAGCAGTTCAGTGGGAAGGAACATCGTGGGTCATTGATACTACAGCTCATGACCCGTTTTGCGTCTTCTTTCATTTCTTCCATTGACGGAACATCATCCGAGATATCGACCAAAGAACTCTGTGGTGGTGCGCGCATATATTATATATTCAATTCTGTCTTTGGAAACTCGCTCGAGACAGTCGATCCCACACATAATCTGACGCTTTCGGATATCAGAACTGCCATCCGCAACTCGACTGGGCCGCGTCCCAGTCTCTTCGTCCCGGAACTTGCATTTGATCTGCTTGTCAAACCCCAAATTAAATTACTGGAAGCGCCTAGTCAAAGATGCGTGGAACTTGTCTATGAGGAACTCATAAAAGTCTGCCATACATGTGGCTCTCAAGAACTCCTACGGTTTCCGCGCCTTCAAGGCAAACTTATCGAAGTTATTTCTGATCTTCTCCGTGAACGCCTAGGGCCTTGTTCGGGATACGTTGAATCGTTGATTTCTATTCAACGAGCTTACATCAACACAAACCATCCCAACTTCCTTGGCGCTACCGCTGCAATGTCATCCATCATTCAGAATAAGCAGGAACAGGAGAGAAAAGCGGCCCTGGCAGAGGATCGGAAAAGACGTGAAAGACGACGACATAAGGAGCTGGGTGGCGTCAACGGGGTTGCACCTCAAGAAGATGAGGAGGATCGGCTGTCCGAACAAAAAGCACAAAACATCCCTGTTAGAAGTCAGTCAGCCAAAGGCAACAGGAGCATGTCTCCCAATTTCGGCAAGTCAGGAGAAAACGGCATCGCAGCGGCGCTCAGTGGGGCGCATTCGAGCCCTCAGGCAGCGTTTGGAGCTTCGAATACGACGCGGGATTCATTCCTGAACTATTTCTTTGGCAAAGACGGTGTGCAGAGCGCCTCCTCTTTGCCTCCACCCTCTTCACACCAAAACAAGCAAGCAAATTACCCTAGCGAACCAAGCATTAGCCAAAGTATTCGCCGACCGGAGTTGCGCTCTCCCGTGATGCCACCGGAAGAACTTGCAGTTCCACCTGAGTACGGCAGTGATATGCTTCCATTTGTAAGCCTCATCCCCTTTTGCATACTTATTGACATCGACTGACCCAAGTTTCTAGCCCAATGAGAGCTCGGAGCCGAGCCTTACCGATCGCGAGGTCCTAGAGACTGAGTTAATCCGCCGATTGATCTCGTCGTATTTCAACATCGTCAGGGAGACGATTGCTGACCAGGTCCCCAAAGCGATTATGCATTTATTGGTCAATCACAGTAAAGATGTCGTGCAGAATAGGCTTGTTAGTGAACTATACAGGGAGGATTTGTTTGCGGACTTGCTTCACGAGGATGATGGCATCAAGGCAGAAAGAGAGAAGTGTGAGAGACTTCTGGAGACCTATAAGGAAGCAGCCAAAATCGTGGGTGAGGTTCTCTAGACCATCTACGTGCTGCCAGTACTCATGTTGGTTTACAATTGCTATTCTTTTGTTTCTTTTTATGAGTTTTATAAGATTAAACAGTTGTCATCGGTTTTGTACAATGTGTGGAACAAGATGGCAGGATGCTGGGCTTGGTGTATATGTTAGAATCCCGTTCATGTATGATGATGTCTTTTATGAAGATATTGCTTGCTCCATTTCTTTCTCTACTGTTGGGTATTTGTACTCAAAAAAGAAAAAAAAAAAAAAAAAAAAAAAAAAAAAAAAAAAAAAAAAAAAAAAAAAAACTGGTAAGGTTGTATAGATCATAACATAAGAACAAGATTCATATGCATGTAGGTAAATTTAGTCTTTCTTCAAACTATTTTCTCTCAGTCGCGTGCCCTCGAAGCCGTATAAGCCACCACCGGCAAATACAAGAGCTGCGCCAACAAGCACACCTGGCGCAAGTTGGTTTCCAAACAGATATATGGACAAAAGCAGCGAGACAAGCTTGCGAATGTTCAAGACGATCGTAACAGTCAAGGAAGATGTTTTTGCAGCAAGTAGGTGAACTCCACGGATGCACAGGAACTGTGTCAAGGCATTCATGAAGAGATATGCCACCTGTATCGGAACACGAGCAAGGAAAGACTGAAAGAACCGATGCCTTTGAACAACCAATGCCAGAGATGAAATAACACCAGAAACCGATGTTGGCATCGAAAGCACACTAAGAGGAGCAGTGGTCAAAACTCCTCCAAGATTTGTAGATGTGAAGGTAGAGATCTTGGAAAGCAACGGGGGAGACGATAGCAGAGTCCGCCATTGGGACAAGAGCTGCGGGTAAGATGTGAGGAAAAGTGGCAACGAGAGTGTATGGGAGTAGAACAGAGCCTCTTTCCAATTATTCCGACCATGGTGCTCATAAAGTCGATCCGCGAAAATACCCTGAAACGCAGACAGAATCATTGCCAATGCGAGCATAGAGAACCCAGTGACCGTGTTTGCAATGGCGTGGCTATCGCTATCAGTCTCGATATTCATTGATTGACCTCTTGCTTCTGCATCTGCCAATGCCGCACCCACAACACCTAGGGTAAGCAGGATGACTGCTACGACTTGACCCCGGGAATACCTTTTGCCATTGAATAGGTATCCGATTATCATTGATGCTACTGGCCCCCCAGAGCGAACAATGATGTGCAGAGGAACAGAGATCTTGTATGCAAATGCCCAGTTGTTTAGAAGATTGATTGTCAAAAAGAATGCAGTGTACACCAGCCATGAGCGAAGTGGTATGACACGCTTGGATATGAACAATGATCGAGGACCTTCAGATATTGAGATGAAGTCCGGGAGGGTAAACAGAGCAGTTACAATGAACTGAACAAATGTTATCAGAGGACCTTCAATTCCAAGTTAGTATAAAAACATTCTGTAGCCTTCTCAAAGACTAGCTGCTCACCAGAACTCGGCTCTTCCCTACAGTATAACATTAGCTTCTGCCCTTACACGTACTTTGTATCTCTAACTTACTTAATAATAGCCTCAAGCGCAAACACCTACTCCAGGCGTCAGCTACAATGATTCTCACGGCCTTGGAATGCTCAACTTACATTGGCACAACAACCGCCGAAAATCAGCGAAACCATCAGGACCACATTCATCCAGCTTGGAAAAGTCGCATGGGCTGCTGCCGCGCCTATGCCTGTCAGAGAGCCATTGGTATCTCTGCTGCTGCGGGCATTCTGCTTGTCATCATTGCCGGAAGGCAAGTCGGTCGTGTGACTCGGTGTTAGGTCATTGCTCGTCGCTTTTAACGTTCCATTGCTGCGACTAGACATTGTGCAGCAATTGACAAAGATGGGCTATCTATCCGCAATAGCCTAGAGGACAATGGCATCGATGATTAGCATATACCGTTGAATAGGGTGTGCCTTTTACCTACCAGGTTAGAACGTTCCGAGACGCGATTACTGGGGTTTTTTATTGTTTGGCCTGGTCGTGCTGCATGTCCTGTATTTCGGTCTCGTTTTTCTCAATTTTGGCAAATTCCGGACCAATTGCCAACGTCTGTATGGATATATATATATTTGTGGAGTTGATGCGATCTATCTGGCTTTATCGGAGACTTGTTATCGCGCCATCAACGCGATAAGGACAATCTTCATAATATCTCCACATGGGCGACAATTGATGAAACTGGACATTCCTAGGTTTATACATGTGGTTGTTACACCCACTCATCTTGTATGCCAACCACCGTCAAGGTATTACTATTCCATTAGATAATATCAAAATAAATATATGTGACTTAGATCACATGCAAACAATGTTGGATTACAATCCGGTTCAGAACCCAGTCACTCAGTCATCCACAATATCGTCGTCACTCAAGACTAGCTTCTCCTCTTGATCTTCCAAGGGTTGCGGGAGTTGCGGCCCAAATGTACTTTTATTGCTGTGATCCTTGCTATGGGGTAACCTCCGCCGGAGAAGACGATTAGGTCCCAGCAAAGGATCGTTGCCATGGTCGTTGTTGTTGTAATGAGGATCGCTGTGAGCTCCAATACGAAAGCTGGTGATCGTATAGAGCTCTTTTGATTCGACTTCGTTCTGTGAGATTTTAGCCATATATGGTAGGTGCCAAAGTAATGCGTCGTTGCGAGGCATCATTGTCACAGTCTTGAGCGTGTCACTGTCATTATATTGATCGATGTCACAAACGGCTGAACGGTTCTTCCAGCTCTGTATGCCACTGGGCTGGGAGACTGCTGTGCCGAATGGATTCAGCAGATGCTTCATCCACAAGTCTATCAACCCTTCAATTTCCTCGGATGCGCTCCATAAACGCAAAGATGTTGGATAAGACATCTTATAAGCATCGTTCCCACGCCCTGATCCCAACTTCCTTCTTACAGGATAAGGGAGAGCGAAAAGCAGGCCTCGCGTAGCTACCTGATAGCTAATCTCGTCTTGGCGTAACATGTCAACACCTGCACTGAAATTTCCGACTCCACCGACTCTTGCCCTATGTCTCTGAGCGCCTCTTTGGTCCGCGCACAACATGTCACTATCTGACAATGCCCCTATACATTCATCCAGACAGTCTGTGGATGGCAGGCACTCGCAGGATGGCACATAGTTTTCATGTAGGGCGCTTATGAATGTTTGGATATCCGTTCCAGTCTCATCCATGAGCTCATCAACGCAGACCTGAGATACTTTGGGTCGCCCATGGTGGCGCAAATGATCTGGCGGCGAAGGGGGCCTAATGCTCCCTGTCGTACTGCTAGCCTCGTCACGCTTGTTGTATACGATTTTACCAACAGCATGGAATATCCCAAGACTCGCTTCTCTCTGAGTGATCATTTTTAATGACTCCTTTTCCATCTGCGTGAGTCCTACACCATTTCGAGACGACTTCTTTGTCTTTTTGTTTATGCTTCCTCCCCATGCTCCTGATTTGTCTCCTCTGAGGCAGACAAACTCAAGAGAAGAAATAGCACTCCTGATGTCTCCTATCTCAGACATTCTCTCGAGAAATGCTGGCCCCGGGACTTGAACTCGCCTGGAATGACGAGCCTCCTTCTCCAATACCAGCCTTAGGGCTTTTTGCATATATGTGGGAGCAATGCTGTTGAAATCGATAAACGTGGCGTTCGGGTGGTTGTAAACGTCCGGCCCCAGTAACCTGTGGGCAGTTAAATTATCCAAAACAGAAGATGCCGAGCCCAAAAGTGTTTCTGAAACGACGAGCACGATAGGAGGATTCATTGTTTCTTCCGGAATCACTTGGTTACTCGACCTCGATAGGGCTGTTGCAGCAAGATACCTCTGGAGAGAAAGCCTGAAGGCAACCAGACCAGACGAATTCCGACTCAGAATTGTGGGAAACTCCTCTATAAGGATAATACGTCGCTGGGGTGGTGTAGGGTCATGGCTTCCTCCAGCATCAGGAGTGCTCTCTGTCCCGTCCAGTTCAAGTCCACTAAACTTATCACCGCGTCCCAGGAATTCCTCGAATTGAGCACCAGTGGATGTATAACCCTTCGTGTTGAATTCGGAGGCTGGCGGATTCTTCCACTCGAGGACGTCGAAGCCTAATGCCTTAGACAACAAAGATACGGTAGTTGTTTTCCCACAACCGGCAGGACCACGCAGAACGAGCAATCTCTAGAATCCATTAGCAAAAGCAACAGGCGCAAAGATGGAACTGAAACATACACATCTATTTCTCCCTATAAATACATCATTCAACCAGTTCTGCACATCAGTAACTTTCCGCTTATGGACAGCTAGCTCATCCAAATTGGATGGGCTGTACTTTTGGGCCCATGGACGTGCATCGTCCTCTGCGGTGACGGTAGCTGATGGCCGAGATTGACTCCCGCCTTTCGGGGATTGAGGAAGCAAGAAGCGCTTGGTAGAGCTCGCACGCTTCCCTATCGAATTTGACTTGGTCGATGGTGGATCCTGGCATGGTTTGTCTTGACTGTTCTCCTGCGCTCCTGTCCCGCCCTGGGAACCAATGTCCGCGTTTATGAAATGCTGCGTAAACAACTCATCAAAAGAATCGTAGTCATCCTCTATCAAATCGTCATCGTCTCCAGCTTTTTCCGTCGTGGACTCCGCGGGGCGCGTTGGTTCGAACTTCTGCAAAGACCATTGCTGTTCCTCATTCGCGGGTTGGAAGAAGCTGTGCAAAGAATCCCCGGTTGATTTGCCATTCAATGGTTTCATATGCTTCTTTTTCTCGGGTAAAGGAGTGGACGAATACGATCTGCTATTGGAGTGGCCGGAAGTCGAGGTCGTCTTCGACCGCGAGGACAGGAGGGGAAGTGCTTTCGAACTTGACCCGGAATCGCCAATGGGCAATTGGGTCGCATCGTTTCGGGAGCCCTTCGTAATTGGAACATGGCTTGCAGAATTCGCGTCGTTTGTTTCTATCTGCACTTCAATGTCATCGTCTGTGTCAGATGAGTAGACAGTGAATCTTCGCTGTCTCTTTGAAGGACGGGTGTCCATGATGGCAAGTCGCTTCCACAGGGGAGCGTATCATTCATTGTATTAAGGAAGACGCAGCAAGAGGCGCATATCGGTATTGGGAAATAAATCAGAGAGCGGCGGGAGTGGTCTTTGAGTCCCCTACAGGACAAGCTTTTGATACTCAACCCCAGGCATCAAATGATGATAAGATACGTAGATAAGATAAATTGGCAAGAATCAATAAATACAGTACTACTAAACCCAGGACTCATTGATTCAATAATTAGACTATTCTCATTAAAAAAGTGCGGTTCGGCTGCCAATAAAGCGACACAAATATATACATAGACGCTGAATAAAAAAAGGAAAGGAAAACAAAAACAATGGGTATATCAGTGATACAAGAAAATGAGACATCATGTACAGAAGAATAACTGAAATGCCCAAGCATATACAAGAAAAGATGGGCTAACAATATGGTCAAGCACCCCCAAACACATCATAATAATAATCATCGTCAAGACCCTCCCGAGAGGGAACTTGGGGAGCTTCCCCGGCAAAGACAGCATCGTCAAATCGAATGTTCAGCAAACGAATCTTTAGCCCATAATTGCTGATAAGGTCAATCAATTTGTTAGTCTCTGCTGTGATGGGCTGTTGATTCAAGAGCATAAGTAAGCCGTCGAGCCATTCAGACGCAGTGCTGATGGACTGTGGCCGGAGAGTCAACAATACCACCTCTTTCTGTGTCGCCCTACTGGTCGAGCGAGCGCGATTATGACTCTTCTGAGCACTCGCGGCTGTCCCAGACGGGACATAGCCATGAATGGTAATCTTGGTAGAGGAAACAGGTTGGTGAGGCGTGGTCTTCACAGTTGAAGAAGACGCGTCGTCTGGTGCTGCCGAGACGTTCGAAACGACAGACGAAACGGTTGAGAGATCAACTAAGAGCGCAAGTTAGCCAAATGAATCTCTAGGTGGAAGGTTCCATGCTCACTCTTGACTGGCAAGGCGTCCAGGTCTGGGCGCCGATTATCTGTAGTATCAAAATCCCCAAAGTGAAGATATCTTCTGTTATGGGATAATTGGGCATATCTGTACGTGGATTTGGACAAGGACGACCCTGTTTCCGATTTGGAAGGGTTCCCATTGAAGAACCAAGCGCCCTGCAGTAGACATCGGATTCTCTGCTCCTTGACAAACTGCAGAGCTTCATGATGTAGTTCGTCACGCACCTGACGGAGATGCTGGCCCCACACATCTTCATATGTAAGTTCCAAGATCTCCATCTGGAGTTCACGAAGCCGTCGATAATCAAATTCGGCCAGTTCTTCCTCCACGTCCTGTACATCCTTTGTCCGTGGCGCTCCTCCGACAACTGACTCAATAAGGATGCGAACAAGCTCAGAAATCTTATCGAAATCCTCCACCTCGGAGCCTGTAGCTTTCCACAGCCGAAAGAACGCATGAAGCCCCGCAACATGCAACCGGGTCCAGTGCAGCAATAGAGGTCTGAATACTCGGTCTAAATTGGATTGAGAGTCCATGATAAGATAGCTCTTGGCATCTTCCATGTCCGACTTGTCAACTTCGAAATGGTCGTACAAGATTGAAGATACTGTCAAGGATGCTCGAGCAATTGGACATCGTTGCTCCGCCGATTTCGTTGACTGCTCCAAGAGCATCTTCTGAAACTCGTCTGAATAGTTTCGGACATAATCGGCAAGATCCATCATTCCTAGAAATCCGGTCCCATCAAATTCGGAAACAGGGTTCTCCGACTCGAACCCAAGTCGCCGCCATTTCTCCGAGTGGTGATTCTTGGAGGAGCGTCGCGTCTCGTCACCAGTATCCGGTGTCTTGTTCTGATTCTTCTCGGGATTGCTCGCCACGTAAATCCCTTTCAATGCCCTTCTGTGTTCTGGCTTCTCTAGGTCCAGATAAACGTCACGCCACTTCCGCAGAAGCACCTTTGTTAGAGACTGGAACTCAATGAGGGGATGCGCCAGATCCTGCAGCGCAGTCCCCTGCATGAGAACGTAGACAGCCCTGATCGCGCCCAAGTTTTGCAATCTTTGAATGAATTTGGGCCATTCAAGTTCCGAATCGTTTGTTATTGAGTCGCGCATGAGACAGTTGATCAATTGGAGCGCATTGGCACAAAGTGCATGATCGGCGGACGAGAGCCTGCTCACAAGCATCTCCAGGAATTGCGGGTAAATGGCGATTGCGGGTTTCAGGGCGCGAAAACCGAACGTTCCTGACTGGGAAAGATGGCCGCCGGCATAAGGGTGTGATACGACGGACACGAGAATCGACATTGCTCCGCGCAGTATGTTCACCAAAGGATGCGTGACAATAAGCTCGACAATCTGGAAGCGAGTCACAAGACTACATTAGTATGGCGTCCGTGACTGAATAAAGCATCTAGAGATCAAGTCCGAACTTGTGACCAATCACCGAACTTACCCTTTCCACCACATCCTGGTCCACAAACTCCCATCCTTTGTCAACCTCCAGTAGCCGCGCAAGGCTTGTCAAACTGTATGCCAATGTATTCCCACTTGCATGTAGTGTGAGGTAGCGCAATCTAGACAGCCCACCTTCGGCGATGAAGATATCAGCAAAGGAAGGATCCCCAATATTTCCCTGAAGTTTGAAGACGGCCATTTTACGGACAGCGTCTTCATCACTCCTCAACCTCTCCACGAGTTCAGGGATGTTGATGCCCTCCATCATGCAAAAAGAAGCGCGGTCCTGCGCGAGGAATCGGGAAGGCTTAACGAATGGACGAAAAGAAGATGAAACGAATGTCAACCAAGCGGTCAAATAAATCAAAACGAATGAAAGAGGAAATTAATTTAGATAAAAAAATAAAAGGAATGGCTTGCGGCAACAACAAAAATAAGAAGTACGGAGGAGTAAATTGGCGCTGCGAGCGGAGTCAGTCAGGGGTGCGGAGGCAGGAACCAGAATTAGTTACATGGGCTGGCGTCTAGCCAAAGGTGTACCATATCGTATCCACTTTTGAGACATTGAGCAAGCGAAAAATATTTCCAAGGCTGTTCTATTCCTAAGTTTTCTATGTGTAAATTTGTGAAGGCAGGGAATTGATACTCCACGCATGTCATCGTAAAGGCGACCAACTACTGCGAAAGCCCTAGCTAGTATCTGCGTCATGACCACCCCGGGTATGGCTGAGGATCTGCTCTTGTAAAGAAAACATGGGGTAAGATACTGATATAACAAAATAGATCAATTCAATGATTCTCAATTCAGTCCTTGTCTATAATCATCATGCACTGGAGTTAAGGAGAAAAAGAAAAGAAAAGCCATTTCTTATGCGCCAATGAATAGTCCGACAACCCAGTGAAATTCAAGTATCGTTGGTATAAACATTACCCTAACTCCATCAAATGCCATCTTAATTATATGCGTGTACGTCGTAATCGGCAAACATGACTAGGTCAAGATGCTCAAGAAGAACAGAATGTGGCGCAGGGTTACCGCCGCCAACCAACATTCCATATAACATGTGCTATATCTTTGGCCGTGTTTACTGTATCAAGCACTCTGTCGAAGATACCAGCATCTGGCGACTCACTATAATCGCCCAGCGAGAACATATCCGAGGTCAAATTGAAACCCCGGTCCATCTCCAGTCCATCCTCATCATCTTCAGAGCTGACGGAGTGAGGGCGAATTTGAGTGGACGCGCTTGAAACTTGCTTGGACTGCCAATTGGACTGCCAGCTAAAGTCAAAGCCGCCATTCGAATCATATCCATCATCATAATCATCATCATCATCATCATCATCCAGAAGGAAATTGGCGGATGGCTCGGAGGATCGGCGCGAATCTTTAGGTGGTGCAGGGGATGGCGACGGTGATGAGCGTGAACCGAACCAACGTTCAAACAACGAGCTTGCAGGTGGCTCGGGCATCTCTCCTCTGAGAGTGGTAGACGGAAGGGGTGCAATGGTTTTGTTTTCGTTGTTACGCGGGGAACTCATGTTTCCGGACGCTGTGTTGGAAAGCATCTGATTCGCCACAGCGACATTGTTTGAGAACAGGCCATCCTCGAGCCCTGTTAGGTATTTTCCGTATTCTTCTTCCTCGTCCTTTGCTTCAATGGCGATGCATTGCACGACCTCATTATTGAAATGGATGTGCCGCCTTTCATTGGGTGACCCTATATCCGAAACGGACGCAGTTGTAGGTGTCCCGGCAATTGCAGTCGGTGTAGTACTGCCTGTTTGATCCTGTTGATGCCTGGATCGCGAAATTGACTGATCTTGTGTATTTGCTGCCTCCTTCGCCTTCAGTAGGGCTCCTGCACGTTGTAACAGTGTATGTTGAGACAATGATCGTTGCAGCATTGTCTCTGATGCGGTCTTTTTCTTCAAAATAGGCTTCCGAGGTTGACACATATTCGGCGTCGTCAGATGGGTCGGCGGAGGTGAGGCATTTGAACCGAAATTCTTAGATGTCTTCAACGGACCATACAACCATGTCACGTCGCAATCCTTGAGCCTGTTGGGAAACTGTTAGCTTGGAGACACCAAGGCGCTCGGAGAGGGGCTATAGCGGTATGCTCACCAATTAAGGGTTTCTGGAGAGATGGTGTCCAAGTCAAACTTCACTTTCGCCCACGTTCTCCAGGAAGCATTTTCCAGTCGCAGCCCGTTGCTGTAGACATCCTTGCGTTTCGTCATGTAACGCCATGATGTCCAGATATCCTCCTCTTTCCAGTCATGGGAGAGATAATCAACATGTCTTGACGGTTCTTCCTCCAGCGAAGTATCATCGGCTGCAGGCGTCTGCAGGCGCTGGCCATCTATTGATGGCTCAGTAGGATTACTACTGACAAGTTCGTCGGACTGCTGTTGCTGTTGAGACATTACATCCTTCTGGAACACTTCTTTGAAATCATATGAGGGGAATAGGATCTCGTCTTCGTCATTGTCACCATCATGCTCATCGTCAATACTGGGCGAAACGCTACTGAGAGTGGGAGAAGACGGAACCGACGAGGCCACAGATGATGAGATCGGACTAAGACAGTCCGTAGAAAGATAATCACTATGAATGGACACGGGAGACTTGATCGAAACGTCTGAGCCCCTTAGGATGTATCTTTGTGTGGTGGGACACTGCAGCGGATCCGGGGTAAACCGCGAATACTTTTCCCGCGGTATCGTGAGCACAGCTGTCATCTTTCAACCACGACAGCTTAACTGAGATAAATATGAAGACGATTCGGAATTGCGATCACTAGTCCTTGGACGCAACGGCTGTCTGGAAAGTAACTTCGGAGGGGGCCGGTACAGGGACCAGGGATCCGTCGCAGAACGCGAAAAGTAGCCGATCAATCAAGGGATGGACGTAACCACCAGGCATAATATAATATAATGAAGCTGTGGATAGTAAAACCGGTGCAAAGGTCCGATAACTATGCGTAGTGGTGTTCCCTAACTTCCTGCACAACGACGACTGACCAACTGGGGCGAAAGCCCAATGTAGGGCCTGTAACCTAACCACTACTCTGCAGTAGGTATCAAGAGGGCAAAAATTTCCCTTGTATTCGAAAATTGAGAATTGAAAATAATTGAGGAAAAGGAGTAGAAGGGAGGATGGCGCTGTCGAAATAGTGACGTGGTAAACGGGAAGCAATCTTCCGATGAGTTCAATTGAAATTGCGGAGAGAGAGAGAGCGAGGATTTATCTTTTCAGAGAAGAACAAGCAGGGAATGAAGCAAACACAAATAGCTTTTTGAGCAAATGTTATCAATTGAAAAAATTATTTCCTTTTTCCCGTTCCGGCGGAAGCATAAAATAGTAGTAAGGACGTAGCAGTAACAGTAAAGTCGTAGTAGTACGGGAGTGGAAATCGAAGTCGCCACCAAACTTGTTATTGTGAGATGATACTACTCCGTACTCCGTCCGTATCGTACTGCGTATGTATTCCGTACTCCGTAAAACCGGGACCGGGGAAAGCGGAGGCCACATTGGCCAACCAGCTGGCGTGACAGGTGTGGAATTGACCAACCGGAAGACCGTTGGGCTGCAGGACCCCATACTTTGTACGGAATACAGACCGATACGTTTCTGTAATTTATAATACATGGTCCAGATCTTCCAGGAAAGCCGAGGAAGAATCAATAATAATGTTATTCATGTACTCCGTACCCCAGAATAAGTATCAAACAACAATGTTTTATATACTGCTGGGCTTTCTTGTCGCCCTTTCCCTGTCCTTCCTTTTTTTTCCATCATATAAACTTCCATGCTCTACGGTGCACTTGTACTCCCTAGACTTTCAAATATACTTTCTGGTGCCGCCTCATAGAAGGATTTGAACCCAGCAATCCCGACAATGCACTACATTGATTGGGCGAGTTTTTCCTAAACTGGTTGGACTGTGGCAGGCCTAGACCAGACAATCCAAGAATAACAACTGGATGGGGGCATCTGGAACACTGAAAATCGCTGACTGCAGAGATAAAGATGGCAAAAAAAAAAAAAGGTATGTTAATGTCGGTTGCTATTCTGCAATCTTGACAAATCCCGATTGAGCCATGTGCCAAAGCCCGTGGCGACCAGCATGCATGGACATGATTGACAACGGTCTCAACGCGGTCCTTTCTGTCCGATGCCTGTCCGTGCTACTACTCTGTACGTGGCTTGCGAATCGTGCGTCTTACCTTTGGATCCTGCGATGCAAGTGATAGGAATTCGATTATTGCTTCGAAGCTTATTGGACAATTCCAATTCACCATGGAGGTCTGGAGCAGAAGAGAACCCATTTCCCCTTGTTCTCGGGATGGTGGAGGCATCGGTATCTGCATACTGGAGAGTCCAAATACACAAGACATGCATGGCATCCTCTTCCTTCTCCCCATCCCCCCTCTTGACCCCCCAGAAATCATATCGAGGAAAGGCGGGGTATGTTAATCACTAGATCCTTCCTGCTCAATCAATTGTACTGGCATGGGTTTCCGTCCCGTATCTTCCGGTGATTGAAATGTTTGCTTTCCTCATCTTCCTCATGTGTGCACAACCATTTACCACAATGCGCACAATACATTTCATCAACGGACGTACATATTTCACCATCCACAAAGTGCTTTGTACATTTGCTCGAGCCTAACTGCCGGATGCGTCTTGCCATGCGGCGTGAGGTTCTCAACCAGCACGAGCACTTGGCTGCCGATTGGTTCCGGAGTCTCCGTGTTTTTGATGACACCTGCTGTCCAGAACCGTTATCAGTTGGAAGATCTCAACGTGGGGTCGATTGCTTCGTTATATCTTCAAATGGCATTATTCTATTGAAAACCGGTTTCACGGGAAGTCGCTATCAGTAAATGCAACTTAGTACTATGTTACAGTATTCGTATAGATGACTGCTTGTTAACTTGCACCTCTGCGGGATACAGAAATTGCTCGCGCAGTCTATCACTTTCATTACACAAAGATTGTCTTCTGTGCTCTGCATAGTGGTTGATCTGCCCAGGCTGAGGCCATTGATCGTCCCAACTTCGCCTCTCAGTTGATTCATTTCAATGAGCTAACAGAAACCTCAGATGCGACGGCCAGGCCAGAAACTGAATCCAAGCACACCAAGTAGTGATCCAGCCCGGTCTTTCAAGGATCGAAACAGGGAACGACATTATGCGCCAGTATCTGAGACGCTTGGAAAACCCGGAGTGCATGAAGGAGAGGCCAATGCTTCAATGCTGAAATAGAAACGATTTTCTTTTACTTTACTCCACTATCATCCACAGGGTACTTTGTACTATGCGTCAATAATCGTAGTATAGAAAATCACGTGCATCCATGGTATGTAGTATTAGTTAGTTAACTAACTACCGCATACGGTTAGGTCAGCGGCCACCGGACCCCCGCGTATGTACGGCTACGTGAACGACAAGCGATACTACCTTCCGATCAAATAGGACCAGGAGTTACTATTATTCGAAATAATATTGAAAATGGCGGAAGTCGCAGAGTCCGGCCCTATTGAACCCCAGGCCAAGCACGTCGTGTATTGCGGAGGTTGGTCATCCATGTGACGCAATTTTTTTTTTTTAAAAAAAGCCCCTCACACTTTTTACAATGCTAACTGCTTTTTGCTGCTAGTTTGCACACTACCTTCAGAGGTATGGGATGAAACTTGACGAAGACACGTTCTCGTTTCGTGTCATAGCTGTGTCAATGGCATGCTAAAGATTGCTGTTCGGTGGTTAACCTATACGATCGTGATTTCTAGTACTGCGAGTTCGGCGGGACAGCTAAAAAATGCGAAGAATGGCTGAAGGACAGTTACCCGGACCTGCATGAACAATTATACTCAGAGGGTATGAAAAGCTTGCCCGGAAGAAAAAGAATGCAAAATCCGGTGGAAACTAACGGTTCCGTTGTATAGAAGCCGTCAGCGCCAACCTATCGAATCTTTCATTGTCCGTTCGTGAGCGCGCAGCCAAGGATGCTGCGAAGAAGGAGGCCAAGGCCGCCGCAGCCGAAACACGCGATGCCGAGCGGAAAGCCGCCTCAAAAGTCCAGATCAAGCGCATTGAGCGTAACAAGCGCAAGCACGTCACCGTCATCACAGGGTTGGAGGTACATGGGTTGGAGAACAAGAAGGTCGCCAAGGAACTCGGTAAGAAGTTTGCTACCGGTTCTTCAGTGACGAAATCCGCCGCTGGTGTCGAAGAGATTACGGTCCAGGGTGACGTGAGCGACGATGTGCAAGAGTGGCTGGTGGAGGTGAAGGGAATTCCTGAAGCGAACACTGAGTTGGTCGAGGATAAGAAGAAGAAGAGCAGCACTTGATCGGATGAATATTGAGGTTTGTTTTGCATTATAATGATTATTCGACAGCGACTATACTGGATAAAGACCCGAAAAGGAAATAACTCCACTGCATGCTGGGGTATCATGAAAACCATCTTGCCGGTACAAATAGAAACCCGAAATCAAAAAGGCAGGTGAACAGATCCCAAAGACAGAATCGTCAAAGTTCGTCAAACATCTTAAGAGGATCGGCCTCAGTGGGCGATGCGCCTGCCGCGCTCGCAGTTTGACGATGATCAAGATTAGGCTTGCTCTTCTGGCCGTTCATCCTTGGAATCGCGGTGGAATCTCGATGTAGAGGAATGTCCGAGGTCTGGTTATCCAACGACGTAGTTTGCAAACGCGCTTGAGAAGAATCGACGAGCGGCCAATTCTGGACAACCACAGCAATCACAAGAGCCAGCGTAGCGGTCACAACAACGCTCCAGAAGATGCGCAGTCGCCGATTGACACGAGACTGCCACTCCACCTCTTTTTTTTCCCAATGGGAAACCTCGTCTTTCATTTTCTCAAGTCTGCCCTCAAGCGCCTCGGCCTTTTCTCTACTCCGCTTCATGCGTTCTTCGAGTGCTTCGATTTTCTCGAGTTGCGGCTGGAATTCGCCGAGTTCTCCGACCTGTCTGTTAATCTCCTGGTACATGCCCGCGACTTCTCGTTCGAACTCGTTGAAGATTGTTGATGTTGAGTCGGCCAGGCCTTGGAAGGAGCCAATGGTCGTATTCAACGCGGTGATCTTTTCCAACAGATTGTAGTATGTGTAGTCAAGTCGGCGGGTGATGTCCGTTGCGAGCGTTCCGATCGATACCAGTGCAGACCGTAGATATCTAAACGAATCCTTGTCAGCGTCTCGATGAAACGAGTGAAAAGGAATAGGAGATATACTCACTCCTCTGCCTGCTTTCTCCTACTCGTCAGCTGCTCCAAATCCCCCGGCGAGCGAATCTCCTGCTGTCTGGGCGGACCAATCCTATCACTCTGCTCGATCCCTTCCAGAAAACTGCCCCTCCTACTCCCAGTCCCAACACCACTGGTCGAATCCGACCCCCATCGCGTCCGAGAAGTATCCCGTGTCACCGGCCTCAACAACCCATCGTCACCCTCGCGATCCTTCTCCTTACTACCTGACCCTGACCAAGTTGGCAGCAAAGCCCTGGCGCCCGCACCAGTTGAAGAGGCAATCTGGCTCATTGTCCGCGGGAATCGGATATCGCGCGATTTGCTGCGTTTGTGTTTATGCGGTCTCGATTTCCCGGGGTCTAGATTGCTGTTGGAGTCGATTATCGCATGGCGATCTTGATGTTTATCATCGCGACTCGTATCGGCGGATCGACGCTCATCATGACGTTGTTGGGTAGGGTAGAAGCTCTGGAATGTTTTCCGACCACCATTGCTCGACATTGCCGCAAACGGCTGCTTTAAGGGTGGGTGGGTATTTATCTGGGTATCGTGGTTGGACGGTTGATTGATTAGGCGGGGATGAATGTCACAGATAAGAGATGGTTAAACAGCGACTCCTTCAAACATGTATCGAACACATTCTCCCTGCTCTTTACTCCGTAGAAGCATTAGTTAATATTGAAGTGCCTCGAAGCTTGGGCAGTAACGGTGCCAAGGCCTTGATCGGCAATGTGTTTCTCAAAAAGGAATGCCTACAAGTACTATGACATTGCAAGATGATACCCTAAATTTGACATCAATTTCAGTGTAGAATTTTAGATGTTTAGATTAAGGGATCAGAGATCTTCAATTTTTGTCCTAAAGATATCCTAGTACTGTGAGAGATATGATAATCATTGGCAATGAGGACCAAGCAATGAAAGCATCATGTTAGATGTGATAAGACTGAAAATATATCGCGGAGTTCAAAGGTAGGTTGAGCTTCCTGGTGGGTTTGCTGGTCTTCTCCATAGATTCCTTCACCCCTGCTTGCGAAGGTCCTCGTGCCCTTTGAACGCCTCGGACAACTTGGTGATGTTGAGGTCATCCCAGAAGTCCACTTCCCGTAGGAAGGGTTGTAGAGCGGGACGTCCCAAGATGGACTTGAGGAAGATGACGGGTACCGTCCACGCCGCTAGGGCCGCTTTAGCTTCAACACTGCTGACAGCCTGTGAGAATTTTTTGACGTACACCCGAGGGTTGCCTGGGTAGTGGTATCTTAAGTCCAACAACTTATTGAACTCTTGATTGACAAGCCGCCATGGTTTGATGGATTATGCTGACCGCAATCTATCCCACGCACTGCGCGGGCAGCGGATTCCGAGGATTCGGCCTTGCGCAGCGGACTCCATCGTGGATTGCAAGATTGCCAGAATGGAGAAGCATTTCGCTTCCCATGTGCTAAAGGCCTTCTGTCATTGAGACTGAACTTGGTAGTCTGCGTCCTGGGTTGCGCTGGGGGTCCCTCCTCCCTGACCACAATCCACCAGTACAACGAATCTCGAGAGCGGAAAGTCAATTCCATGAACCCAGCCCATGGGCAGCACGGAGATGCAACGCGTCTTGTCTTGCCTCCGACCTTCCGTGATCCGATCCTACGCGGATTTGGAAGAGCAATGCCTTCGAGAACTTGGCTATAAAATCCTGTGACATTGCTATAATTGGATGGATTCATTTGGGTTAGAAGGGGCCAAAGTAAGGGTGTAACGCAAAAACTCCAATACACCGAAGCACTTCAATTCGTAACTGGCCTTTTGTTGGTCCCATTCGGCGAGTAAGAGTTGAATTTGAGTAACCACTTCTTGAAGACACTCGTCAATGAGCTCCTGGCTTACTTGATAGGAGTTGTTTGGTCCAGGTCTATAGTGTGAAGGACGAATTTCGCCAATGAGAATGTTCCAGTAAGTCGGGGTTTTCAAAGCGCAAAGCGAATTTCAAAGACTCTGACCATGTGCAATATATAATTGCTGTCATCCCTTAATTTTGGAGCAAGTCTAGCCCTAACTTCATTCAAGGGGATGAACTTGAGTTCAAGAAGTCGAGTCTCGTTTGAGCCTGTTGGCCTATGATATAGTAATCCGTTTCCTCAAGAAACGCCATCTCGCGGTGTAGTCTGAATTCTAGCCCGGCGTCTGATTTGATCACTAAGATTCAGACCGAGGACAGGCCGCATATTTACAAGATTCCATAGTTTTATGGGAGAGGGTGATGTTGGAGACTGAGCAAACTGGTTAGTTAACGCGAGACCAGAGATCGAGGTATCTGCAGAGAAAATGACCCTATTGACGTTAGAACTCAGTCTGGGGTTAGAATATATCAGTCATGAAACCTCGATGGAAACATGGCATCACTGCATCAAATCGATAATAGATTAGGATTAGCTAGTCAAATAAACACGAAAATTCCTCCTCCTCCTCCTCCTGTTCTAGTTCGCCGTCTTCTTTTTCGCAACAATTGAGAGCTCAAGGATGTCGTTGTGCCTATATCCCCTCTTCCCCGACTGTTATTATATTATGTATACTAATAAGCAATTTTTTTTTTTTTTTTTTTTTTTTTTTTTTTTCAGCCTTTGGTGGGAAAACCGGAATATATGGGATGTTCTGCCAATCTTGTTGGCACTACCCTTGGTGATGCCTATCAGATTTTCGTTTTCTTTGATTCATTGTTGTTAATCGAACTTTGCACGGCCCATACAAGTCATCTACACTCAGATTTGCTCCAGAAACCACTCGTTTGCTGCGAGGTCTCTTGGTCACCTGGACGGGAGCTGCGAGGGTTGAGGGTCCGGGACCTGTAGGTGAGGTGCCGTGCTTGCTTCGAGAATTGAAGCTTTCCGACGATTTTTTCCAGCACGATGCTTAGGGCGGGGGATTCGTTTACCACCGTTCAATGCTTTGCGGTTCCCTTCAAATTGCTGGAAAGCTTGGTAAAGTTCGCTTGCGCCTATATCCTTCCATGTGCTGATCTGGTACATCAGTGCATGTAGGGAGGGGCTGTTTGAAAGTGCTCGAAGAAACGCGGACATTTCCAACCATGAAGGAATGATGGTTTCCGTCTTAAGTTTCTGCACAAGCTCTCGAAAACGCCGTAAGAAGATACGATGATTTCCATTTTCTCTGTATTTCATGTTCATCAGCTTCTCGAAAAGTTCATGGACTACTTTCCAAGGCGTAGGGCAGTATTCCATCTTGAGAGTTTCCCACGCGGTTTTGGGGCACCGAGTTCCCATTATAGGTTTTGAACGTTGGGTTCGATGGTGAATCGAAGTACTAGGAGAAGACCAAATCTAATGCTCTCATAATCTGCGAACTCAGATTGGAGCCTCATGGCTTGATCCTCAGTCTGACCATTTGCATTGACAGCCGGTTCTCTTGGAAGGTTGATGTTCCCGATAAGAATCTGCCAGTAAATTTGGCCTTTCTCTCGGAGGGCCACTTCTAGGGAATCTGCTGAATATCAAAAACCGAAGTAGATTCTGTCGCTATTTTGTTTTTGCTCCGGAGTAAAAAGATGCCTGTAAAGTTCTTTGGCCAAATGTAAGAAGATATTTTATGGTATTGTATATGTTTACAATATCTGCGTCACCCCATGAGTCTTTTTTACAGGCAATCGGAGACCTGAGCAAGGTGGCAGGCAGCACTGATGGTCAGGCAGGCACTACACCCACGACCAAGCACCCAAAAAAGTCAGTATGGCATAGGAACCAGTAATCAACTTATCGACGGGAAGATAGTTAAGCGTCTTTCAGCTTTTCTTCCGGAGTTCTCGCGGCCTGCTTGTATCAACTGCATTCGATTCCACTCCTAACTCGCTCTCATGCCTTGTCAAAATTATCATATAGTCTTGAGATTTCTAGTTATCCCGAGTCAACTTCCCTAAGGAATGGCTTGAGTGCTGCGCGGTTAGAAATTGACACCAGGAAAACAACCAGCAACATCCACAGTGATATGTTTGTAGCGGCCTGTTTGAACCTCCCACGGTAAATGTGAGGATTACCGCGTTCCCAGTGCCGCATTGATGTCAACTTGTTGAAGTGTTGATAATCTTACTTGTAAATAAGATTGTAGACGAAGAACTGTAGTGTCAATTCACATTAACATTTTCGAACAGCCTCAGTCTTTCATGGACGGACTGACTTGTCAATCCTGTAGAGATTTCCCATCTGAATTCAGACGAATGTAATTCATCAACAGATATACATCCCCTCTTACTTGGTTATATTTGGTGATCCGGTCCCGCACGGATTCGGAACCGAGCGGTGCCTTCAGAAGCTGGGAGAAACTGGCTGGCTTTGGATCGCTCTTTTCTGGCTGTTTGAAAAACGAGCATCCGGGAGCAGGAGCTCATCCCATCGGGCCAGTGCAGTGTTTGCCATACTTCTGTGATTTAGGAGCTGTGTTCACAACTGGCTCACAGGGCTTTAGTAAATGCCACTGTTCCATTCCAACAATCTGTTCCGACTCTTTCAAGGTACCTTTGGACCCCTTGTGGCTAGGAAGGACGAGTGCTTGTTTCATCGTTTTAGGCCGTACCGGACAGGTTTGTACTTAGCCCTAGAGTAGAGTTTGACGAGAGTCCGAAAGAAGAGGTATTGCTTATCAGTAACTTTCGATTTAGATTGCAGGTTTCTGCATGACTTCAAAGGCTTGTCTGTTATTTTGGCATTATTGGGAGCAGCATGCCAATTAGGGCGTGGTGAAGAATACGAGGAAGCCATTTGTTCGTGCAATGTGGATAGTAGAGATGGTCGACAATGATAACTGGAATGAAATATGGAATAAAAGAAGAGGGGAAGGGAAGACTCATCCACCATTGGTGGTAACGGCCATCGAGAGCGAACAAACTAGATCAAGTGAATATATCAACCCTGTCTTCGTAAATAGCATGCTGTGACTTAGACATTGGAATCGTTAGGGCTTTTTACAAGAGACCAACGACGACAATATAGAGCTAGCACATGCCCTATATCAACCATACAACATAGTTTCATTCAGTTTGCGAGACATTCAACTTCAATATAATGGCTTCTCTGTCGAGCGTACCCGTTTCCAATGTCAAATACTACGAGTGCATGACAGAAACATGTCTATAAATGGATACAACACAGCGCAATATGGTATTCCATGCTGACCTCGCTAGAGTAATATTGCCGTATACAATGGTTAATTCGTCTAGCACTAGTCGGCCGTGTTATCTTATGATTTCTGGCATTGCTTGTCGCTGACCCTCCTGACCTTAGAAGGGCGCGATTCCTCATCGTCTTGGAGGCCACATTTCTTGTGTCCCTTGTCATGTGTACTCTTTGCTCTTTGAACCGGTTGGCGCAAAAGCACCTGAGTGAAAAATTCAAGTGGTGCAGTCGTCCTCTTCTCAAAGCTATAGAGCTTTGACTGCCTGATTACCAGCTGGCGGTGATTCAGTGAAGCACAGAACGGTCGACCATGTTGAGGTCCAACATATGAGAGAAGCAGAATGGGGAAGCACTTCTCTTTTGGGAATTCAAATTCAAACCGAGAAAGACTTCCCTCGGACATGCAAGGGAGTTTTTCGCATTCTTCCTTGGAACTTATATTCATCATCTTCACCCTCATATTCCACCCCAACCTTTAGTTGGTTGGCACGGTTTCGCATTGCTGTAATTATGATTGCAAGCTCTCCAAAAAGAATAGAACCTTCTTTGCCGTTGCAAGGCTGATAAGCGGATATGGTAAGGTGGGCATACTGTTTGTCTTCCTGGAAGATTTCTAGAAATAGGTTACCCGAATAAGGTCTCCCCGACCTTTTGTAGGTGGCTGGATATTGGTCATGCCATCCTGCTCGTCCGTTTAGAAAGAAAGGATGGGGTTGCCTAATATGATCAGTAATGCTACCATACTCTGTAAAACGAAGACCACTTACTCGAGACGCTCGAGGTCGCGAACTTCTAGCATATCATATGCGTTTGGTCTTGAGCCCATGGCCCACTTTTGCACGCAGTCTTCAGTCTTCAGTCTCGATTGCAGTCAAACGCACACCAGAGCTCCCTTTACCACACTTTTCCGGCTTGTACTCTCGGAAGTGGTACAGCAAAGAAGAAGTGTCGACAGGGTACTTCTGAAGCTCATCAAGTGGCATTGGATCGAATAAGTTTTCGGATCCTAAATTTTCAAAGTCAAACTGGCTAACCCGGAGGATGTTGTACTCATCCAGGACATTATCATCCACTCCACCATCCTTCCTGACTATGCTTGCACCATCTTTCACAAGATTGTCCCACAGGAAATCCAAGTGCTTGCGCACTTTTCTATTTCGGGATGGCATTCTGAAGGGAATTTCGAGCAGTTTCTGTGTCGCGAGAAATTCTAGATGTCCGTCAATATGACTAGAGATGGAAGCACAAGGCAGCATTGCTGATGTATAAGAGTATAAATTGCGTCACTCAAATCTTCAGGATCGCGAAACTAAATATTGTATATTATCATCTTTATAAAAGGGAGGCCGAGCATTTTCTGTAAAGCTTCAAATAAGAGTTTCGAATAAAATGAGGGTAAAATGAAAATCCATGTTTATATGCAGGTATTTTGCAAAGTAACGCAGTCGTGACCCAATCCCCCAACGCCGTTGATCGAAATTAACAAAACAGAAATGCACGACACGCGCATAAGCAGCAACACGCGGTGGGCATCACAGAATGTACAGACGGACAATATGCAAGGAAGCGCCTCCAACAGTATGGGATTATGAGTTGAGCAACTTGTTGCGCTTCTCTTTCCGCTTGAGACGTTCGACTCGCTTGTGGTGCATCTTCTCTGCCATCTTGTCGTATCGTTCCTTTTCCTCCTTGGCGGCTCTGCGTTCCTTGATCCTTTGGATATGGGCCTGTTATCCGTTATTAGCATCCGGACGGTCACCACTTCGCAGTGTAAGCTCACCTGACGCTCTGCCTCCTTTTCTTCCTTCAGTTCCTTTTCGTGTTCCTTGATGGCTTCATGCTGTTTACGCAGTTCCTGTCTTTTCGCAAACGAGGTCATGCCGGCAGCGGGTCGGAAGGGCTTCCTAGCGTCGTGCCAGTTTTTGCCTGCGGGTACCCCAGAAACATTAGCTAACGAAAAGATAAAAAAGCACGGAACGTGGGTGTCCAATATCGTACCATTTTTCCTCATGCCCTTAACGGGTGCAGGAGCTGTGGAGGGAGCTGTGGTCGCAGTCGACATGATCAAAATATACCAATTGAGGAATGTTGAGCTTGGCGGATAATAGCGATGGAATTTTTTTTTTGAGCCTCTCAGAAACCGAGGAAAAAGTTATCTTAGCCCGATCAGATAACCGGATCTCGGCAAAAGTACCAATCCGGGCCCATACATCCGCTCTCAGAACAGCAATAACCACTGAAGCTGGGCAAACCTCCTAAGAAACCCCACTATTCTGCAATATTTGACACTGGTTTATTATTGGGATCATCCCACGCGCAACGACTGGTCTCGTCTTCGTTTACAAACTTATTATATTACTCCGTATTACAGAGTACCGTTTTTTTTTTTTTTTTCCCGGCGCGTGGATCGGATTCATCAGATTAAATCCCTCGCTCGAAATACTCCGCCCCGCTTACGATTGATTTAAAAAAAAAAAAGAGGCCTTAAATACTCTTCGTCTCCCGTCTTTCGCCCTTGGCGTTGCCCTCAGAAATTGTACGATGCTCTACCGATAGGAAGAAAAAACTCCTTTCCTTCCCCCTCCCCCCATCTTTCAACCCGTCCTTCCGGAGCTCTTCAGTGCTCGTTTCCCATTTATATCTACGCCAATGGCGGCTGCAGAACACGCGGTAACCATTCACGATGAAAGGTCCATGGAGCTTCCCCTACTTCCTCCGAACCAGGCACTCGAGGCCCTGAAGGATGTCTTTTGCGGATCGGTGAGTCATTCCAAGATATCAATTGAGTGCGCCTTGTACTGACTGTCTATCAGGCTGCAGGAATGGCAGGCAAGGTCATTGAATACCCTTTTGATACCGTGAAAGTCCGGCTGCAATCGCAACCAGATCATCTGCCCCTCCGGTATACAGGGCCTTTGGATTGCTTCCGCCAATCAATCCGAGCAGATGGGATTCGAGGACTGTACAGAGGCATTAACGCTCCTTTACTAGGAGCTGCGGTCGAGAATAGCTGTCTTTTTTTCAGTTACCGTTTATTCCAAGACATTCTGAGGTCGACCTGGTATTCCTCGACAACCGAAGATCTGCCTTTCACCGCGCTTCTAATCAGCGGTGCAGCATCCGGGTCGATTACGTCGATTGCGCTTACTCCGATTGAACTCGTCAAGTGCAAGATGCAGGTCCCTGTTAACGGCGCCGCTCGTGCGGCCCCAGGTACATTATCTATTATAACGTCTATTTTCCGCCACGATGGAATATTAGGGTTCTGGCGAGGCCAGCTGGGCACTTTTATCCGTGAAACAGGAGGAGGCGCTGCCTGGTTTGGAGGATACGAGGGAGTTTCAGGATTTTTCCGGATGCGCGCCGCATCGAAAAGGCAAAACACATCAGAGCCAGTGACCATACCGATATATCAACAAATGATCGCAGGAGCAGCAGGCGGCATCAGCTACAACTTCCTATTCTATCCAGCCGACACCATAAAATCGCGGATGCAAACAGAAGACGTCATCCGGCCCGGGCATGGTGGAAAGCAGACCTTCTTGAGTGTCGGCAAGACTATGTGGCAGCAACAGGGCCTGAGATCTCTGTACCGGGGATGCGGGATAACCTGCGCACGTTCGGCTCCCAGTTCTGCCTTTATTTTCTCCGTTTATGAAGCTCTGCGGGGTTCCATTTCATGACCCTTCCGCCTGCCTTTATCTTTCCTATGTATTTTTCATTCTGCTCTATATTTTCTTGTTTATGATACCTATTTTGATATTTGTTTTATAGCTGGCCAATCTGGTATTGGTGCGGAGTACGAGTGCAGAAAAGTATAGGCGGGTACTTGGTAATACATGCATATAATTGGGATCTTTGTTTGTCTTGGGAGCTTATGAGATTGGTGTTTGTTGCAGATAGACAGACAACTATTGAGAATGTGACATTAATACACGGCTATGTCAAACGCGGGGAAATGTGTTGTCATGATAAGATACAGATATATAACCAATTGTCAACTCAACCTCTTTCTCTTTCCAATTCACATCTCAACATTCTACTAACTCCCACTGTAAAAACAAACATGGCTAACACCATCACCACCCAAGAACTAGAAATCCTCTCCAACAAAGCCATCTCGGCCAAATCCACCGCATACTGTAAGTCACAAGATGTCCTCATGATACACAGAACCGGACCATAAATCCCTTCTCTTACATATACAAAAACTAACCGACCAAGGCCCATACTCCAAATTCCGCGTCGGAGCAAGCCTCCTCACCCACTCTGGCGAATACATCACCGGCGCCAATGTCGAGAATGTCTCATTTCCCGTGGGCACCTGCGCGGAGAGGGTAGCATTTGGGACTGCTGTCGTAAGTCTGGTTATCCACGAACGTGGGACGAATTGCTTATTGGGGTAATAGGTGAGTGGCCATAAAGAGTTCAAGGCTGTTGCTGTGGCCTCGGATATCACACCGGGGGCGTCGCCGTGTGGCATGTGTAGACAGTTGTGAGTTTATTTTTTCCTGTTTGCCCAACGAGAAGTTCGATATTACCAATATGTTTTTTGTCGACGGAATGTTCCGTTGAATGTTGTTGCTTTTTTTTTTTTCGCGGCTCCATCCCCATAACATCCCACTCTTCCAGAACATCACCTGTGCAAGTTGATACCCGACTAACAAATCAAATCTACTCGATTACACAATAGTATGCGCGAGTTCCTTACGCCATCGGTCCCGATCTATATGTATGATGGGCAGGGGGGACATATTGTGAAGACTATGGGCGAGGTATTCCCCCCCCACCATCAGGATGATGGGATAAGGTGCAATCACGCGGCGCAAGGCAGCAGCTTACTTTTCATGTTCAGCTTCTTCCGAATTCGTTTGGGCCGGATGATTTGAGGTAATGTGATGTGATGCGAACTTAGTTCGGCGTTGTGGTGTGGTGTGGTCGTAGGGTAGTACAACGAAGTTGATGTGGGATTCGCTGTTTTTCTGCGTATTCCTATATTTGGAATGTTACATATCGTCTATAGTCACTATCTTTACCAAAGTACGGATACTACAAGTACATAGTCTCATTGATACAGGGATGCATCATATACCTGAATCGGATATATACACTATGATCTACCCACAACTCTGGTTACTGTCGATCCGAGATATAATCGACGAATGCCAGTTGATCATGATGCGTGATTGTCCGGATTGTCTGATCTACGGTACGAAGTTTCCAGAACTCACTCTAAACATTCAATTCTGGTTGGTTGATATATCCCTTTACCTCACCCGAATATCTTCACATACTACAGAGTAAAAAGTATGGTTAAACAAAGCTAGTCAACCGGTTTGATCCAGTAAATCCCTTCACCATATCTATTTTTGTCCGCTACTTACCCGGCAGCAATAGCAACCCCAACCTGGTTACGCGTACAGATTCAAAAGTGTACTCCAGGGGTAGAACAGAAAACATGACTCGCTCGTAAATAACATGAAATCATCGCAAAGCAACTAAACTTCATCCTCCTCATCCTCCGCCTCATCAACGCCCAGCAACTCATCTTCGTCATCAACGACATGCGCGTAATCCCCTCTTCTCGCAGCAAACGACCCCCTCGACGCATATGGTCTTCCGCCTCCCCGTCTGACACGCACATACCCACTCATACTCCGCCAGAGACTCGACATAAGCAACGGCAACGCCTTCGCAATCGCTACAACCCCCGCAATCAACGCAACCGGCACAGTAACCATCGGCGAGTCCCGCGACAGCCACCCCTCGGTCCCACCGACTCCCTCGCCCAGACGGATCTGTCCGAATTTGCCGTCCCATCTGGTGTAGACGTAGTATCCTGCTGCACAAGCGAGAGCGATGGGAATGGTGATGGCGAAGAAGAGTGCGGTGCCGGAGATGCCATGTTTCTCTTCGTATTCTTTTTCCTTGCTGGGGCAGGGCTTGGAGACGTGGTGGTCCAGATTGAGGCCGCCTTGGCAGGTTGTTAGGGGGACGCGGCGGTAGCCGGTTGGTTCCCAGTATTCGATTTCGTCGGGATCGTCTCTGCAGACGACTAGGGCGTCGGGTTCGGGGAGGCCGGGGACGAGTTTGCAGCTTCCGTCGCTTTGGGGTTCGTAATTGTAGTCACTATATTGTTAGTATGGCTTCGTCGGTGTAGATGTAAGGTACTCACCATTCATAGTCAGCTCGTGTACAGGTGCAATTCCGTCCGATACTGTGAACATGAGGCTCACGCCAATTGTTCCAGCAATCCGCCGAAGTCTTCTTGCGGTGGTACTGCTCAGTATGACCGAACAAACAGTTGTCCGCCTGCAAAGGATGCGTAGGCTCCCAGAGATAATAGTCATCACTGTGTCCCTCCTTCTCAAGCTCATCAAGATGGCACCCCTTTTCACGAAGACCGCTAAAGTCCACATTAATCGTAGCGAACTTGTCCTTGCCCGTCTCTCGGATCCAGAGGAGGAAGTTCTTCGAGGTATCAGATGGGAGAGTCGTGATGTCTTCAACTAGCACCTCTGTTTCCGAGAACTGGTATTCTTCCCAGGTATCGCCTTCGTCGAGAGTGTAGTAGAGAACCTTTGTCGGCTTGTGTTCGGATACAATTACAATCACTGAGCCGGCGTCGCCGTATTCGTACTGGTATCTTCCCTTCTTGACGGATTTCCAGGTGATACCACCATCCTGTGTAAGGAACGTGTCCGCGTTGTCTAAGCTTCCCAGAGAATCACCCACATTACCAACGCCCATCATCAAACCAATGGCCGAGCCGGACGAGAAGGTGTCTTCAGGATCTCTGCGCTCAGTGTACCCATGCAGATGCAGCGCACAGTCATCAGTACCTCTTCCTTCCTTAACCGAGCAGCCAAACTTGTTGTTATCGGCGTCTCGCGAAGGAGGCGGCAGCAAAGTCCACTGAGCCCCGTCGTTGTGCGTGATCATCGTCTTGAGCTTCTTGCTCTCAACCTTCTTGTTGACTCCATGGACGTTCCCGACCACATTGGCAACAGCCACGCCCTCGAGGCCTTGCATCTTCTCGAAGTCAATGTAGCCCGGGCCATTCCGGTTCACCGCAGGCAGACTGAGAACATACGAGGTGCCGTTGCTGTTACTCTTGATGAGCGACCCGTATTCCGCACCGTCATTTCTGTTCATAGTGACATGCAAGAACATGGCATGCGTCGTACTGTCCACAACGGTATACGCCGATTGAATGAGGATATTGAGGTTCACGGGGAACTCGACTTCGGCAAAAGTCCTCCCGTCAATGCTGACACTGGCCTTGAGCGAGTCGGCGTGTTCAGGATCATCGGTAGCCACGATGATATATTCAGACATGGCAGCGAAGTCAGCCACGTTCTTGGCTTGGACGTCCTTGTGGGCAGCGAAGAAATCATCGCTATATACCAATTGGCGCTTGCTGTCCTCGTCCTCGTTCTCGTGTTGCTCGCAAAGGATCAAGTTCTCGTTCTTTTTTCTGGTCTCCTCGTCCTGACGTTTACCCTCGCTCCTGTCGCCAACAAACATACACTTCTTCGCATACTCTAGCAAAGGCTTCCAGGTTGTCCCGGAGTCTGTCGTGAAGTAAGCATTACTATGGCAATCCTTGGCGGTACAATGCGGGGGGCCGATCCAGATAAGCCATCCCTTATTCTGTGGATGGAACATGAGAGGCAGTCGCAACGAACCCCGTTCGGTGGGCGTCTTGAAACTCTTGACATTTCTGCGGTCATCAGTGTAGAACGACTTCGTACCCTCGGTCAGGAAGTAGGCAACATCGGTGTAGTACGGATGAGGAATGACATCCACAATCTTCTCTCCTTTGAGAGGCTGCTTCCAGCTCTTGCCGTGGTCATGAGAGATGTGAAGAATATGCTTCTCCGTTGTCATGATGATAGTCTCGTCATGCTGGGAGCTGCTCGACTGGCGTTCCAGATAGTAGTATTCACTGGGTTGCCTGGAGTCGAACGTCTGCTTTGTCACCGCAATCGAGCCGTATGCGGGTGCACTTTTCGCATCGTCGCAGGATCGCTCGATGTCGGCATCCAAGTTCTCGCCGCCATCACGGATACAGGTGTCACCCGGGATTAATCTCCAGCCAGACGGGCCCTTGTACGTATCATCCGGCTTCTGACACTCTCCCTTCGGAGGAGTCAACGAGACAGCCGGCTTGCAGCTCTTCCGGTCCTCGCTGCGCACAAAGTTGAAGTCACACTCGAAGTCCTCGGCGGTACACTTGCACGGTTGGAAGATCGGCTCGGGGTCCTTGAATTCCTCACCCACGAAACAATCGGCGTTGGCCTTTCGGCGCTTGAAGTACTGCTTGTGACCCATCAAGCAGTCGGCTTCACCCTTTTCATCCAGGCGGGCCGGCCACTTTTCAAAGTCGTCCTTTTCACATTTCCGCTCATGCAAGCCATTGTAGTCGATCGAGTAGATGATGTGTGCTCCGTCCTCGCTGCTTTCCGAGCTACTACCAACAAGCAGGAACTTCAAGCTGGTCGAGTCCGGCGTGGTGGTCAGGATCCGGGGGTAGATCTTGTGCTTGAGCTTGGCGGATTCCCAGTCTTTGCCATGGTCGATGGAATACCAGATTTCGTCCGTTTTGTCATCATCACGAATGGCCATGATAACAGCGCCCTGATCGCCAAACTCGTACTTGTGCGGGCCCTTACGGGCAAGCCGCCAAGTGACACCAGCATCATCGGACACGTACAGATTGCCCTCGGAGTAGTCCTTGAGATGGTCACCCGTGTTGCCGACTCCCATGACTATGCCCGGCGCTGGACTGGAGAACACGCGGCCCACGTTGGCAAAAGCAGTCACGGAGTGAAGATGCAGCTTCTCGTCACCAAGTTTGAGGGATTGGAAGCTTCTGCCGTCATCGAAACTGATGTCGCTGACAATCTTCTTCTTCTTTCCATCCTCGACTTCCTTCGGGTTCTTGACCGTGTTGACAAGCACAATTCCTTGGATATTGGCGATTTTCTCGAAATCCATGAATCCATAGGGGTTGCGGTTGACGTGCTCAATGTTGTTGGTGAAATAAGTACCGTTGGAGTTGGAAGTGAACAAGGTGCCCATGCTGTTTGATCGACTGCTAGTCAAGACACTCACTTGGATGCTGTAGTTCGTGCTCTCCAGAATAGTGTAGGCGCCCTCCTCCAATCGATGGCTTCCAAACTCGGCGCGATGCCAGGTGATAGAGTCGTCGGAAACGAACAAGGCACGCTCGTCTGTCCCCTGCGACTGAGCAGCAGCAACAAGATACTTCTTAACCGCCGCGGTGCTGATAACGCCGCTCACCGGCCGGCCATGCTGCAGCTTCACCTCGGCGCCATCCTCACTGCTCTTGAAGTAATCATCCGAGTACACAAGACGATTCGCAGAGTGGATCGAAATCTTCAATCCCGGAACGACGCAAAGAATGCGGTCCTCAATCTCCCCCGCAATGTCCAAATCCGCAGCGAACTGAGGATCGCCAACCGCCCACGCACAACTCACAATCCCGTCGCGTAGAGGCTTAATCGTCTTGAAATCATCGGTAGTATAGTACGCGCGATTGGCACACATAAACCCAAAACACACCTCCCCATGAAAAATCACCTTCTTTGAATCCCACCCATGAAAAGCCAACGGCCTAATCGCCGGCGGCATCTCAACCTCAAACGAATCAAACGTCTTCCCCTGATCCGTCGTGACCCAATGCTTGCCCTCCTTCCCAAACACATACGCCTTATTGGTATCAAACGGATGCGGCCAAATCGTAAGCAGTTGACCCTTCATATCTCCATTCTTCCCCTCCACCACATCAAACTTCTCGCCTCCATCAAACGACCTCAAGAGATCATTGGTCTTGATATCCTGGAAGAGAATGGTATCCGTGTCTTCGAAGTAGAACAAGCCGACGGGTTCATGTTCGAGCTCGGTCGCCGTGATCGCGGGCCCGTTGTCCTTCTTCGCGGCGACCGGCTGCCAGATGAGCGCCCATAGCAGGCAGCTCACGACGAGCGGCCATCGAGGGATCATGACCGTGAGCTAGAATCGACCATTTGAAGCGGATGCACGCGAACGAGGGAGGTCTATGCGCGAGTCCGCAGCTACGTAATGTAACGGATCGATCCGGTTCGTTGAGTAGATGGAAGAGGTATCTCTTTCAATAGATAGTAAACAGTGTTATGTCGCAGAAATCGAAAGCAAAGAATTGAGGAATAGTCGAAATGGCAACGCGTGTCAGGACAAGTTGTTGGCGCCTGGAGCTCACAGCTGGCCCTCCGACGGCATCCAAAGTCACGTGCATGCTTATCGAACATTCCGGGGAATGGCCAGTGCATTAATATACAAAAAACAGGAGTCTTCATAAGTGCTTATATACTATTCATGTTAAGTCCTATATACAGATTTTTCGATTCTCGATCGATAAAACGCGAAATACATAGCAGATATTCCCGTGGCCAGAAGAAATGCAAAAAAAAAAAAAAAAAAAGGAAAAGGTAAGTGTCCGAGTCGCTAACATCAAAAAGCGTACAAATAGGTATCAATACAAGAGAGAAATGGACGAATAACACCGTGAACACCGGCCAAGCATACACATCCGAGGGTATTCAAACAAAACGAAACGAAACCAAAGAAAAGATTAGAACGAGAGACAGGCTAGTACTTCGGTTTCCGAAGCCTGCGCCACATCTTCTTCATGACGTTTTGTTGCTCCGAATCAGACTCATCCCAGATATCAGGGTAGCTATCGGCCACCGGAGGCAGCTCTTCTGGCCTCAGCGGGTCTTCTGCTGAAGTGGGAGATACCGATGGAGATGATTGCTCACGAAGATCGGGCCGGGTCAAGGTCATCTTCAGCGTCATTTCCCGGTTCCCAGGTACCCGTCGGAGGGCCGGTGGAGGTGCAGCTGTGCATGCTTGCCGTTTGTTTGGTGGGTTCTTTAGGGTCTGTGGTGCTTTCGCAACGGTCGACAACCGGGACGATTTCCGACGATTCTTGTCATTCGAACAACGGTTACCGTGAACCGCTCCATTCGCGTCCTCAAAAAAAGTCCCGGTCAACTTCTGTACCTTTGGCGAGGCAAGACCCTCCGAAACCCTTTCCGGACGTTCTGAGAGGGCGTTATCGTCTTTACCGTCGTTCAAGGCCGGGAATCCGAACTCGATGGCTTCGTCGAATTTCTGTGGCGAGGCGAGGTAGACCCGTAGCTTAAGGCGGGCTTCAGGGTCTTGATAGTATTGTGCAGCGGGGTCAATGCTCGAGGTGGATGAACGAGGGGCGTGCATGGTCGGTCGTTGATAACCGGATGGCGGCCGGGAGGTCGAAGTGCGACCAACGATATTGGCCAGGGACGAGGGGACCGTGGAAGACTGGCTCGAACCGGGGACCGCGGGGTGAGAGACGGATGAAGCAGCTTTGCGAGCCTGGCGGTTCGCAGAGAAGGACATTGTGCGCCGGAAGGAAGGCTTCCTCCGCGGCGGTTGCTTGGGAACAGGATTGGCGTTGGTAACATGGGCGTGATAATCATCTAGTCTCAGGTCGAGGTCGCCATCCCCATCGAGCCAACGGAAACTGTCGTTGAGCGAGTTGTCCATCTCGTTGTTGTTGTTGTTGTTGTTGTTGTCGTCGTCGTCTTCGTCGTCGGGCTCTGCTTCCGTGTCCCAGTCGGAATCGGACGACTCGATATAAAGGGTAGAGGTTTGGGAGAGGTCGGTGGTGGTCGTGTCGGACGGCAAGCTTTCACAAGAAGGATGCGTTTGTTTCTTCTTCTGTTCCGATCGATACACAGCTTGGTCGGCCGAGTCAAAAATCACACTGTCGCGGTACACCTGACGAAGATAGGCGCGCTCTTCAGGCGAAAAGAACTTCTGCTGGACCTTGGGGGGTAACGATTGAAAGCACTGCAAATCGACCTGAGCGGAGAGATAGGCCAATTGCAAGGAGCCGAGCTGAGGTTTCTGAGCTGAGGAAGGAGAGAGGAGAGGGGGAGCGGTGACGGAGGAATTGTAAGAATCGTGGGAGGAGAATGTGTCGAGACGACGAGACCGTTTCTTCTTCTTGTTGTTGTTGTTGTTGTTGGAAGCCCTCCTTCTCACAGCTGAGCCAGCACTGGCACTGGCACTAGCAGGAGTAGTAGCAGTAGTAGTAGTAGTATGATTAGGCCGACGCCGGAGATTCTGGAAGTGGAGGCGCCGGGGCAGCGCACTGGCAAGGACCGGTGGGGGATAGTCAGAGCCACCATTGGCAGGTGAGCTGTGATCGCTGTGGGCTAGACGCATGCGCAGTCGTTCGGTATTCGAGAAGAACTGCAAAAGGAACAAGCGGCCTGTGTGTTAGCAATCATACTTTTGTCTAGTACGTATCGGTTCTCCAAAGTATGCTTTATTGGAGTGATAGTGCTGATTGAGTGCGAACGGGACCTGTTCACGCCCTGAGCACTCAGGGGAAGAAGTAATATGGGAGGAACGCGCCGTCAGCCGATGCGCGACCCTCCCAAAGGGGAAACCGTGAAGCGATAGCGTGGTCCACCATCGGGTCATGATCTGCCAATGGCGGCGATGTTCAGGAGAAAATGCCGGCACAGCCAAAGAGAGTGATTTGACAAATAGCGGTACATAAAGAAATAGTCTGGGTTCATTTCCAGTATGGATACCCGGGTATATCGCAGTATCCACGCGGAGACGTTCGGGGATCGAGGGATTGGGATTGGGCAATTGGATTGGACGAAATGAACAAAGAGATAGCTTGTACTAACCTTTCTCTGTAATGCTGGAGGAAGAGATTCGTACTCTTCTTCGGTAAACATCATGGTGTACTCTGTACTCGGAACGGCCAGATACTCGGTATAAACTCGCTCCGTGTCAATAGTCGAGAAATCAATGTTCAACTGTCTGTACTCCGTAGCTTATAAGAGAGGGAAAGAGAGAAAAAGGAGCCGTCAGGTTGCAAATGCAGAGAGCCTGCATACATATATGACTGGTCGGTTTTGTGATGGTAATTCCCTCGTGGCTGTACTGTTGTTCACCGTAAGTTGGGCTGTCTGATGGATTGGGATAAAATCAGCCACGTTGGACGCCTCGAATGCGCCTGATCAGATATGAAGAAATAATATATCAGTGCCAATTGCAGAGTGCAGAGGAACACTTACATATAGTAGAACTCCGATACGTTGCGGTGCGTGGGATAGACCATGTGCATCCCAGGATCTTCTTTGATGAGATGTCACCCCGCGGTGATATTGATGTTTTAACACCACACTAGAGAAGCCAAGGGCGCCTCATGGGATTTGAAAGAGGGCACTATCTACTCTGGATTGACTGGCTTCATCATCGACTAATTTAGCTCAGGAACCTGTTTGGTCACTGTCTGGCCACTGTCTGGTATTATTCTGGGTGGGCGAATCGCGGAGGGGAATGACAGCTCACGGACTCCATAATGAGATAAGAATATCACAATGTGACCGCAGTTGTGATGAATTGCAGAAGTGGTTCCTTTTCCCCATCGGGCAGAAACACTCGTCGGCGCTTAGTTTTCTCCACGGGAATAACTATGGAGTACTCTGTACTCTGTACAGATACACCACTGCGAATCGCTGGTTTCACAGTACTCAACGTACCTTGCCGAGTGCATTTCTACTTGTACAAAATGCTTACTGGTACACTCAAAATTACCGCCAGACAAGGCAGAGTTTCAGGATGAGACACTTTTTCTAAAAGAGGCTAGATGCACTGCAAGGGGGCCAAGCCACCACAACGTGGCCAGTGTCCAATCATCGTCCACTAGTGGGGATCAAGGTTCACACTTTTTGCGGTGACGGTTCATTTCCTCGGTGCCTGATCCTGCCTGATCCTGCCTGATTATTGCCTGATCCTTGCTGTTCTGGGCAGTAGTTAGACTGAGAGAAAAGCCCTCATGATTGGCTTTTATATTCTCAAATCGTGAGGTCAACCACGGAGAACACCGTGAGGATCTACGGAACTGGTTAATCTCGTTTACAAGTACAGAGTACTCCCTGGTGTGCTACTCCAAGCTTTCAATCCCAACCAATAGTTAACTCCTATGTTATTATGTACTCCGGTCTAGCACCCCTGACCGCCACATGATATCCCCTGCACGCGAGCATCGACCGCTAAGTGCAGGGGATTTGAGCTGTCAGTTGCCGTTGTCTTGGTACTTGGTACTTAGCGGTACTTGGCTTCCGGTAGTTGTTCACCCTGGGAATTGTATGCGACTTTGAAACAATAGATTCTTGTACACCGAATGTCTCGTCAATTATACTTGTACTCCGTACTCCGTACAGTGGAAGTAGTACATTACAAGTACTTGTACCCCCCGTGCCCAACGTTCCACGGTACATACTGCCGAGTACGAATTGCCGAGACATCGATTGGAAAACCGATCCAGTCCAGTGATCATTCATAGTCTATCCTAGCAAGATCGGTCGATGCCCTGATATCAACTTTCACACGTGATTCTCCAAATAGCAAATGATATTACCCCATGGAGTAATAATGTCCAACGAATCTTGGACTCTTTGTTGAAGTTGAGATAAAGAATACGGCATACGGTGTACGCAAACCCACTTGAACACGTAAACGTAGCCGTTTGCAGGGTTCGTGCATCATTTCCCGATGTTTGGGCTATAAAATCGCCACTTATGCATGTCTGATTACAACCGTTTTCCAATAAAAACAGCCATGGCATATAGCACTCCATAATAAAATCCCATAAACAAGCATCAGATTTAACCTGAAACCGATCTCCATCCTGTAACAACCTAATCCCAACAGTCCCAGAAAGCTACCGTGACCGTTGCATCCTGTTTACTTTTTCCGGCCATAGCCCTATGAAACACCCGTGGAGTAACCGGGATTCGTCTCATTTATGGTCTTTGGAGGCGGTTGACTAACTCAAAGAGCTGGATACCGCAGCTATTAAGTCGTTGTCTCACTTGTGGAAGCTTCTAGGCGAGCTACTTCGGGGTCATGAATGTTGGGTGTTTCAGTGAGTGGACTATAGTAAGAGTAATATCATAATATGTCTGATTATACAGACACATACTCCGTATCTAAGTGAATGCAATGTTCAGATTGTCCATAGAAGGTTCTAACGAGATATTCACTGAATGGGAGTGGGGCTTTATTCCGAGGAAGGAGCCATCTAACGCCGACGTACTCACTTCCCAAATCGTCATCGCGGTGCCTTTTTGGTCCATTGGTCTACTTACTCAGGTCTATCTTCCTAGTCTGCTCTTTACCAGACACCAACCTGATAGAACACATTACGACAGACTCTGAGCCTTCTCTTAGCCAGGCTTGAACTAGTCTAAGGTTGGGCAACACGCTGACTCAACAGAATGCAGGCAGTGTGGGAGGAGGCCGAACAATACGGCGCAAGAAATTTCGGGAGTCTTTTTGGGATATCAAGTGCCAACTTATATCCGACAAAGAAGAGGAAGAGACCTTATTTAAGGTATTGATGGGCCCTATATCCTGCCTACCCGCTTTCCTGGGAACATACCGTAATGTGACAGACTGAAGCACCATGGCGATTCCAAGGCTAGAATCTGGGATGCCAACTGCACCTTGGAACCCACGTCTATGCCACTGATAAATACTCATCCGTCTTCTGCGAGGCCAGGGATTCTCTTTGGTGGTGGTGAAGTCACTCCAATCAGCCATTTCATCCACCATCGCGATATAATTGATGGGATATCAATCTCGCCCGATATCTAACCATTCTGATGACCCCGTGTTATGGGCCAAATAATTATACCTCCTCAAGGAGCGGGTGCTGTTAGATCATATGTTGGCAACATGTGAGACTCAATTTGTGCCGAATTCAATATTATGTGAGATTACTATTCTTTTGAACCTGAAATGAACAGATTCAAACATAAAGCCATCGTGATGTTGGCTGCCGCCACCTTCACCGGGAGTAACTGTCGCCTTTTGTTTTCTGACCTGCTAGGAACTTCTACTCGCTGCTAACTTGCTGATGGCTTGCACTGCGTGACAAGAACCAACGACAAGAAAACAAAGAACCTCACTGTGTGTAGGCTACGTTTTGTTCCGAAAAATCCGACCTATACGAGTTTTGTTGAACACGTTCCTTGCGGGGATGAAGGTGTTATCCAAAGCCGTATCCATGAACACATATGTCATCCCATGTCTATGGTATGCAACGCGGCCAACGTAGACAAGGTGATGGCGGACTTCAGATTATGTGTCAACCGTTTGATGATGGGAGTCCCTGACATTGTCATTAAGATGGGACGGGAGTTTTGTTGGCCATTAGAGAGCTCAAAGTGTATTGGATCAAGACCCATGACCTCGCTATCGACAGGGCAGATGGCTCAAAGTCCTGGAGATGCCTCCTCAGTAAGCGGTCTTTTGAGGCATTTTCTCAGGGTCACCCAGACTAACATTAGCCTAAGGCCGAGCTGCAAGCTATATGAAGCAGGCAAAAACTATGAGAATGTGGCCGACGGCGAGGCCCTGTTGAAGTCACCTCCACGGATGCCCTTAACTACAAAGATCGACGAGAATAGGCGGTTTCGCTGGATGGTATAGACACAGATTCGGACAACACCAGCCCTCTGCCTGGCACTGGATGAATAGCCCAGACTATAACGTCTTTATCATCGAGTTCCCTGGACCAGGCCATCCCTGGTTGCGGTAAGAGCCCTCTCTATCCTAGGGCTGAAACGAATATATCTGTCTGGCAGCGGGGGAGACACATGAAAAGGTACCAGAGGCCCCGGGGCAGACGCTCTAGTCGCAAGCATGCGAAGCTACCCCAACCCGATGTCACACCCTCTCTATGAGAACCAAGGACCGTGCTTACGAGTGTTACAGTGCACAATTGTTGGTACTTAGATGGAAATTTTGGAAATGATCACATCACATCCATTGAGCTATAGCCATTCCAGTGGCTAGTAGGAAGTACCCTACACGATATTCTCTAAGAAGCAAACCGAGTCACACTAAAATAGCTTGCAACACCGAAGCCAGCAAAGTTTCAGGTCCAATGTGGCATGGTTTCCAAACAGACTAATAAGTAAACATACAAAGTCCATATAGCTTCGCACTACATCCACCTGAAAGCGTCACAAATTTCCGGAACGAAAAGGACATCTACTCACCATGATCTCCCTAAAGCTTCCCGTCAAGGTGGCTTTCGAATTTTGTGATGAGCAATCCAGAGTATATATGATCATTATTTCGAGTATTGACTGATTGTGGCGTGAGCGCGCGAAGCGCAAAGCTAAGTACCTTAATGAGGAGAGAGCAAACATTGAGGGTCTGTCAGTTGACGAGTATTAATGAGGGCTAGTCAGGCACTGATGAAGAGAGATATCGAAAGCAAAGAAGGTTCTTTGTACAGCCAGGTCAAGTGTTGCGCTCTTCTTCCCCTACCACCCTTCACCACAATATTCTCAGCGAGAATAACGGGGCTACTATGTTACAAAACCTCAAGGCCCTAAGATGATTCAACTTTGAGCTTTGATGGCCGTATCATGGTACATTTACATCAACGAAGGAGAAGACAGCAGTGTGTGTCCATTGGAAAACACTGGCCGAAACAGACATCAATGGAATTCCGTTCGGCCCATGCACACCAAAACGTCGACAGATATTATGTTTGCAGAGCCCTTTTGTCTGCAGAGCCCTCTTCCCTGAAGGTTACGACATAAGGTATGACAACCAGAGAGGATCAACATAGTGGTCTTTTTATTATCATAGTGTCTATCTGAGCTTGTAAATGAATAATAATATCTATATTCCAGAGATAGGGCTAGTTCAGCTGAGATGCACGCGTCATTGCGAAGTAACATTCTAAACAATAATTTTTTAACACGTCTAAGTTTCAAAGTAAAGTAGTTCTCATAATACAACAAAATGCCACGAACACTCCGGTCTGGAAGAATAAATTCCCCGCCCTCACCCGAGAGACGGCCCGTGGAAACATGTACCCAACCCCAAGAATACACAATAAACACCGTCCCGGAACCCCTCCAGAAAAGGCCTATTTCCAAATGCTTCCTCGAGTACTGGAATAGAGATAAAGCGAGCAACTCTGAGGGGGATATAGAAGTCCCGATAAATAAAGTCATACTGGGATTTTAATTCAAAAGCCCCATTCATAATGGTACCGCGTTGGTTCCAGATGGGACGAGAGGGGCAGCATTAGACATCAGACCCGACGGGACTATTTCAAGAGACAGTAACATATATATCAAGACAATTGATTATACCGGCGCTAGTCCGAGAGCACATGCACACTGTCTCGATACCCGTGGGAATCCTTCAATTGCAATGCCTCCTCCGTGAAATCAAGAGAGATATGCTTTCATTCCAGTTTACGCTCGGCGATGACGGAAGATATCATGGCTACAGATATTTCATGTAAATTTCCCCATCCTAGGGCTACAAATGACTAATGCTAATTTATTTATTTAATCAAGTTTATTGTCCATACCGAGCCCTAGAGCTATGACAGACCATAAATCATGGACTCGAGGCCAGCAGCTATTCCACAGTCTCTTGTCCCTATGAGTTCCTGAGGCAACACCCCCGTTCTATAATCTTTCTGATCCTTTCCCTCGCCCCAGACCGCCTGTATGCGCAGGGCTTTCGAGCAGAGTGCTCTCCTTGTGTTTCAGAGCACTAATGCTAATTAACGTGTAGATAAAAACTCATCCACTAAGTGAAGATCAGAAGCATCATTCATCTCACACTCGCAGAAGCAATTACAGTCAACGATAGATTTGGCTATAGGTATGGTTCGGGTGAAAGTTTGAAAGATCCGGTGCAGAATGGGCGATTTCCGGCTTGATATCGGCATATACCGCTTTTTTGGACAGAATGGCATCTTAATTGAGCTGCATTTGACTGGTCTTCTATTCTCAAGATACTGTAAGCAGTATAGTAGAATGAAATATAATCAAGATAATGATGTCAGGGCTGTGGACAGTAAAAATCTAGTGTAAGCGTCAACACGACACTGGCCAAAATATGGTCTTCTCTCGCAAGCAAACAACTACTGAATAAATACCAACAGCTTCAATGCCAGCCCTCCGACCCGGCCAAGCCCAGCGTCCTCCTGCAAAAAAGCACGTAAAAACAAACCACCAAGAATACGAACTCCGCAACACCCCCAAGTCCTTCCAACAAACACGAATCTCCAAATGCACCCTCGAATACCGAGAAACCTGGGATACGATAAACCTCGGCGGAAATACAATCAAAGACGATGACGGACACAGCATCCCCAAGAACAAAGTCATATTGAGGATTCACTTCAGCCGTCCTGTCCATAAGAACAAAGCGTATGCGCCGAGGGGAACAACCGGGTTGTTATTGGAAGTTAGGCCGTATGGGCATGTTCCGGAAGAGAAGTATGGGCTAATTGATAGTCGTGTGTATGTGAGGACGATTGGGTAAAGGGGGATAGTCCGGGTGTCTTGCGTAGTATTGATTTGGCCCGGGATCAAATTTTTGCACTGAAAGATATAATGTATTGGATTGAGTGGAGTAAAATGCTGGGGCTTCGGTTTATCTTTGATGGGAATGAATTTGTAGGTTGTAGACATTTTATGTGAGTCCTTCCTCATCTAAGCAATCGGCCCTCCTCCATTTGGCGATGGTATGTTAATTTCTATGGTTTCAGGACGCAACACATCCGCTAACTGCGAGAAGAATATGTCTTGAGACTCGCGTTCACGGAGATCGTCACAGTAAATGACAGCCTCAACCTCAGATACGGGCCGGAAGGATGTTCTTGGGAAGGTCGAGTACAGTGTGGATGGTTTCCTACCGACTATATGCCACTGCCTCTTTTTTTAGCGGCGCGGGGCCAGGTGACGAAAGAAGAAGCAACTGGTCAGATTACTGTCTTCGGCAATGATAGCATGCGCTACATTTGCTTTGAATGGTCTCACCCATTATGACTACTCTTGGCAATAGGCGATACTCTAGTACTGATATAGTTGCAATCTATCTCATTTCCTGCTGCTACCTCCGGTATCTGGAAAGCTTTATTTCTGGAGAGAGTAAGCCGTCCTATTCTGAATATGCATGTACGGAAGCTGTATCTGGAGAAAGCCACCTTCACTGTGGATTTGGAAGCTAGGGCAAGAAAATTCGCACTTACTCACCTAAAGGAAACAGCCCATACGATTGGTTTGGCCATCTGCTCTTTATTTTCACTGCCAGCTCCGTCGTCCTCCCCAAGCTCTCTAACTCATCCAACTGCACATCCGTAGCCAAAGCAAATGGCCTTTGCTCAATGGGATAGGTGGCACGCCATCATGCGATGTAGTCATGTTCGTGCAAGCTGAGTCGGAGTTCAATGAATATTCTTTATAAAATATTTTTTCCAGCACCCCGTCTCTCAGCACCCTTTACCATGTCCTGCTAAAGCATCAGGCCAAGTGAACCAGCATCGACTAACATTGTCGCAAGCCAATTTCAGGTTCGAACTATCAATTACAACACCACCAGCCCACAGGCACCCGAGAACGTCCACTACCAGTCACACCAAATGTGACATTGGATGACTTTCTACCGCAAGTCGTGACGAATAACATGCTGCCAATCTAAGTCGAGTTCGATGGACGCAGATTCAAGGGCTGTAGGGATTTCATGTGAGTCCTATGTCAATTCAATGTCACGCCCTACTCTCGTTGTGATCGTCGATCCCACAATTGGTACGATATCACCAAAAGGCCCGGAGCTGCTGGCCCTTACCCCGGCCCAAGTGGCCACTTCGCACAGCAGCTAAAACCATCGGTATGGCCTGGGGGGCTGTCATCTGGGGTCTTCCCCACGGCGTATCGTTCCTATTCCTTTGCTTGCGCGTTTGTATCAGAGTCTGATCAGTTTGGCGGTTAGGGTTATGTTGGCGACTTATTTTCGAGAACCAAGATGTGTCTAGCACGCTTCGTTGACTAGTATTGTCCGTTTACTTTGTTTCCTGATTTCTTTACTTGATAGATACAAAAAAGTCGCGGCAAGGCATAATGTGTATTAGGGTATATATCCTCCAACACAACCCCCCAAGTACCATTCTCGATATACAAAAAGACCAAGAAACGACTACAAGACATTAAGCACATTTTGCATCGCGGCCGTATTCGAATCCTCTCTCCTCGACACATACGCCCGCACTTCTTGTACATTAAGCCCAGCCCCAGCCCCAACCTGCGTCGTCCCACCCCCGGCACCTCGTCCGGACCGCGCACCGGCATTGTTCCCTGATCCTCCGTTGGCGCCGCCGCGGATCCGTTCGCGGAGAGCCTCGAATCCGATGACGAAGAGACTGCCGACTTCGAGGAGGACGTCCAGGGCGCCGCCAGGTGCTTTGACTTGTTCGTCGATGTCCCATGATTTCAGCAGGTCTGTGTACTGGGTCATGTCTTTGGTGACCATGAGGCCTCCGGTGCCGTTGACGACGAAACGTTTGAAGTGCTCGAGGAGGAGGTTGCGGGCGCCGAACGCGATTTCTGTTAGGAGTTGGCGGACGTTGGGGCCGCTGGATGGTAGTGAGGATAGGGCGAGGTTGTGCACGCGGGTTAAGAAGGTACAGATCGATGCACATGTCTAGTCATATTAGTACGCTATAGTAGATTTCCGGGAAAGGTGACTTACCGGTGTCTGCAGCTTCTCCATCCAGGCCGCGCTATCACCTTCTTTGGGTCTGAAATCGTTCTTCTTCTGACCTGAGAGAAGCTTGCCCACCCATGTCAAGACTGCGTCGATAGTCTTCTGTTCCATCGTATTGATCTTTTCTTCAATACGCATCGTGGTCAAGTTGGTTTTCTTCTCCATCTCACGGCGTGCCGTGATGTTGCCCGCCGCAAGCGGGATGAGCACCGTGTTGATACACATAACCATCAAATTCGTGACACCGATGATGCTCCGAACACCTGGTAGATACGCGAAGTCCGGCTCATTCTTGGCCGTTTCCTGCGATGTCGCGGCGTCCAGAGCAGCGTCGAGACAGACTTCAATGTATCCTTCACCCATCATCGAGAGCAGCAGGTTCAACAGCGCGGACACATCCCTGGATGTCTCGTTGTTCACGCTCAATTCCAGTCCACGACCGACTGCTTCTGCGAGCCACTTGAGCATGCGCTTTGCATCGGATAGACTCAGAAGACCGTCTTCTTCGGTCAGTTTGATTTCACTCGGGCGTTGAGAATCACTGGATTCTCGCAGACCGGCCAGCTGTAGTAACATTCTTCTCTGCGTTGGCGAGTATTCGGACGATTCAAGACGATTGATATAAGCATCTCTAGCAGAAGAGAGGAATTCGGTTCCAGATTTGGCCAGAGACGCCATGAATGTCGATGCGGCCTTCTTCCGTCGGGCGTGGAAAGTCGTAAACTTAAACAGTAGAGACGTATATAGTTCTTCCAAGTTCTTCTTCTCTCTTTCAATGTAGGAAGACCCAGCGAAATACGGGACGAACAGGTCCTCTAATTGCTGGTCCAAAACCAGCGCTATCTGGGAGGAAATTGGATCCGGGTGCTCTGTCAACCCGTGCGATTTCAGGTCATCAACCAGGGAACCAATGTAGTTGCGCGAGCTTTGCAGAGACCGCAAGAACGCTAACAAGGAAACACTACTGGCATTTTCCAGCACCAGCTCGAGTCTCTGCTGGATGGACTGCTGGAACACACGCTGGAGGAACTTCCCAAGGACCTGTTCATAGTACGGAAAGGCACGTTTGATGATGGCTGATTCCTCCTGAACCACGACTTTAACCTCATCAATCAGCGACTGGAGACTGGGCTCGACTTTCAGAGGTTCAGCATCCGGATCGGCCAATTTCTCCCATGACTCTGGGTCAACTCCCACTTCCTCTGTGACCAATTGACTCCGGTCGATGAAGAACTGATGCTGGTTGACGAATAAAGCGATGACACTTGAACCTCCGTTGAAATCCTGAAGAACCGTCGCACAATCCTTCATGCCTTCGAAGTTCGCTTTCCGGTAGAAATCGTCAAACTGCTTCAACAAGTCCTTCTCTAGAGTTTCCGAGAACTTCTCGATAATCTCTCTCGTATTCCGCTTGCTGCCGCCATCCGCGTCCTCGTTCAGAGACGACGAACTATCGAACGCACCATTGGTCTTCCCGCCAGATTCATCCCAACTCTTAGGATCGAGTCTCTGGCTAATCCGCAGTAATTGCCGCGCAATATGAGCCGAGCGCACCTTGGCTTCGCCACTACCCGATCTCCGTAGGTTCTCCAACAACGTAAGATCTCCCCGATTGCAAACCCCATCCCAGCACTCGAGCAGAAAATGCGCATCCAGCGCCCGACGTCTCTGCCGGTCGAGCTCTTCCAACCGTCTTCCCGTTTCCACAGCCATATTCCCCGTTCCACCCGTCACCTCGCTACTGGGGAGACCTGCTCCATTCAGCGACGTGTCCAGTTGCTGGAACGAGTCGATCGTCTGCTTCAGTTTCCGGCCGAGGGAGCTGACATTCTGCGCGTGTTGTGCTTCGGCTCGTCGAGCGGCTGCCGAGAGTTCATTCTCTTTGATCTCCAGATCACCGGATAACTCGCCCAGTCGCCGTTGCGCATTTTCAAACGTCCGAATGAGCGGTTTCGGATCGAATGGCTGGTTTCCGCTGGCGGATCCGATGATCGAGCGACGGTTGGAGATTGCGCTATCGGAGAGGGACTCGATGAATTCCTTGACGATGAAGTCGCGGTTCGAAAAGTCTTCAAGGGTGAAACTGGGGCCTTTGGGATAGACGGAGCGGGACGCGGGGTTGGAGGAGTTTATGGACGCATTGTCCGGCATTTTGGTGGTTGATGGCAGTCACCTGCCAGCATGGGGACGAGACAGGAGTGTGGTGCAAAGATGCGATTAAAAATGAGCGATTCCACCTGGTGGTGGGTGGTTGTTCATCTCTACTTCAGAGTTGTGATCGGAGTTGGATTGTAGTTGGCATTCCGCGCGGCGGTGTTCTGCCGGAGACAGGATTCCACAATTCAACCATGTACGAAGTGCAGAGTAAGAATACGAATTATTCTGGATATCTTATTCATGGCCATTGCCAGTGGTATATTATGTTCTACTGCAAATTCAGTTGCTGTAATTGAGGACGCGCATGATATGTCATGTGACGGTATATCCGGAGTATACTACTAAATAAATGCATTCCATGTACGGAGTAAAGCAAACGAAAACAGCCAGGGTAAGTCAAAATAACACATTGACAGATTGGATCATGACAGTATAATTGATGCCTGTTCTATTTCCGTTGACACATGTCCTGACTGTATCCGGATAGATTGACGTACTGTGGCAATGCTGTCAGACCGTCTCATATCTAAGCTGATATTTAAATAGCCATTGTGCAGTTAACCCAGTTAACAACCGTTTATTTTGTCGTTAAAAAGCAGAGTTGTACGGAGTACTCTGTATCGTAACTATCGTTGATATCATCGATAGCGGCCGGACATTTCCACTTCTTGGCTGAATTCATCTCCGAACCACCTCGCATCACCCAAGTACACAGCTACAATGGTCTCCCACCGAGACCAAGAAGTCTTCAGAGAAGACATCCGCAATCGCCGACGCCTCAGCGTAACAGAACGCGAGGCCCTTTTGAAGCCATACCTCCCCGATCCCTCCGACCTCCCGCAGCGCAAGAGCAGGAAGGCGTCGATTTCGCGAAAGACACCTGTGCGGACATTCTTCAAGTCCCAGATCCACCAGCTGACATATACGATTATCCACATCTTCTTTGGGATTGCTGTTCGGTTCATTCAGAGTTATCATGCTGTTGTGGATCGGATCTTTGCGATTGTCTACTACCATCATCGGACGCCGGAGTTGATTAGGAAGGATGTCAAAGGGTTGAAACGGTTACCGGAGCATTTGAGTGTTATACTGTCGCTGAGGAAGGAGGACGATGCGCTGGCTGTGTTGATGGACGAGGTAGCCGAGTTGGCTGCTTGGAGTACTGCATCTGGGATCCCGACGTTGAGTGTGTATGAGAAGACTGGTACGTTAACCCTCATACCTATAGCTCTGTGCGACTGCTAATGGCACAGGAATCCTCAAATCCTGCATCCCAACCCTCTACGAACTCGTCACCAGCAAACTCTCCTCCTACTACGGCACTCCCTCCCAACAACCAAGATTCCAACTCTTCGCCCCCCACCACCCCGTCTACCAAACCTCAACCCCAACAGACACAGACCCATCCAAATCTAACCCCGAATCCCTAACTCTCCTCCTCCTCTCCTCCACCGATGGCCGCGAAACCTTCGTCGACCTAACTAAGACCCTCGCCGAAATGTCCCAGAACGGCAAAGTCTCGCCGCAAGACATCACCCCAGAACTCGTCGACGCGGAAATCAGCGAGATCACCACGCATCCCGCGCAGTCGGGTGGTGGCAGCGACGGTGATTCTGTTTTCATAAAGCCCGAGCCTGATCTTCTCTTGGTATTTGGACCTTTCTTGAAACTGGATGGGTATCCGCCGTGGCATATCAGGCTTACGGAGATGTATTGCACGGGTGATACGGGTAATGGGTTGACGGGGTATGGCGAGGCGGTTGAGTATCAGGGTTTCGTTCAGGGGTTGTGGCATTTTGCTGGGGCGCAGATGAGATTTGGACGGTGAAGCGGTTGGACTGGGTTGGAGTGTAGCATTTCCGTTTTTGTTGCGTTTTGATATATTGAGCATTAAGTATTGACAACGAAGCATGTTGGGAGTTTAAGAAGTCAGACCGGTAGAAACTATCCTACTATGCCAAAGCTGACCTTGGATATCAATGCATTATATTACTTATTGGACCGTTTTGCTATTGTAGATCCAAGTCAAGGCATACCCATCGAACGCCGACCATGCTAAACTATGCTATGCTATTATTCTATACAGTACATCCAATTCAAGAATGATTCCATACAGAAACGAAAACCCAAATGTCCCAAAAGTTCAGTAGATTCGCATGTCCACCTCCCTGGCCGTGTTGCCAGATGAAACCAATATCGGTCGATAAATTCAAGGGCAGATGGGCCCCAATAAATGTCGTAATATCTTGTCGTTTCAAGTCGTTCGTGCTGAACGGACATCCATAGTCGCCGGCACGAGACTCCGTCTCAGAAGTCTCGGGTGCCCAGTCACGGCGACTCGAGTTCGAAATCCAGATATCTCTGTTGACGTATCCCATGCAAGCGAACATCATCCCGCCTGGCCCATAGCCTGCCACTGCGGCAAATGAGCACGAACACACTCAAGACACCGCACCACCTCCATCCCCGTCTCCGTCATCCCCTCCACAGCACAGCACGAACAGATCTTCCTCGCCTGTCTAATTTCCGAATCCCGCCCATTAACATCCTCCTGTATCCTCTCCGAGTCATCCTTAATCAAATAATCCCCCCCAAGATTAACAGAACCCCGACAATCGATAGCATCGCACTGCCTCAGACAAATGTAGCAAGCCCGCTCACCACACAAATCACAGTCCGCGTACGCATCTAGCAATTCCCTCGTCGTAGGCCGTCGATAACAAATATGGCACGGCCGCAGCGAAGCAGCAGAAGTACATTGATTCTGCTGATGAGGCGGGTAGGACAACGGGACAATAGTTTTCGGTGAGACCGGCGGCGAGGAGAAATTCGAACCTGGGGGGATGTACAGATTCGGAGCTAAGAGTTTAGCTGGAGTCGGTTGGTTATCGGACCCGGGCCCAGGCCATGGTTGTTGGAGGACTCGTCGCTTTCGAGGAATGCATCGGTGACGGTGGGGAATTTCTGGGGTTTCTTTTGGTAGGTCTGGGCAGTTTAGGCGGAATGAGGGATTCGAGGTATGGAGATATGCTGGGATAAAGGTCGTGTTGTATCTGTTGAGATAGCGATTCGATTAGCTGATTGAAAGCGACGTCCAAATTTTCCTTTCACTTACGGATCTGCTAAGTTTGTAGATTCCTCCTGCAATGCGTTTCTCTTGCGCTTTTTGAGGGAATCTTGTTGCTCAGACAGAATGCCTGGCATTGCTGAAGAGACGTTATCTGTGAAGCACCCTGTTTGATTCATGGGTGAAAGGAGTTGGAGAAAGTTGAAGAGACGAAAGGTAAAGGAAAGGGTGAGGAATTTTCTGTAGAATGAAGGAAATCCCCTAGTAGTGGAGTATTCCACCGGACAGAGAGAAAGCGAGGGAAAGAAGAATGAAAGAGAAAGAAAAGCATCGAATGCCCGAAAGAGAAGAAATGAAGCTGGATAACACAAGATACTGTAAAGTACGGTAATCGATTAGATACGGGGTAACGTACGATAAGCTTAACCTTTTCGGGACTAGCACAGGCACTTTTTTGCAACACATGATCCACACGCTAAGCCTATTGTGGCGATAGTGCAGCCTTCTTTTCATGGTAGTTATCATGTTATTTTCTAACTAACTATATACAGGTCTCTATATTACATATCGTTGCCAGAGATCACTCCATCCAATCGAGACTGAATAGTCTTCTCGTCAAACGGCCCGTTCTCGCCAACGTAATTCCGGAGTACCTCCCAAGTCATCAGCCGTCGCGGTGCTTTCCGGCCGGTCATCAGTTCGAACTGCGCAATACCCTGTTCTAAGACATTATCGAGTCCGTCTACCAAGACCCATGCGCGTCCGGTTTCACTCCGGATGCGACGCATTTGTCGCAGGAGTGGCGTGTTGAGCGGCTTGTATGCTAGCTCCAATATCACTCCGCCGGTTGGACTCCCAAGCCATTGTGTAGGCATCTCAAAGTTCGCGGGTTCGCCCATATCTGGATCGGCCGGTACGCATGACGCAATCAAGCATGGAGAACAGGCATCCGATGGCCATTCCTCCTCTGTCGACTGTAGAACCCGTACAACGTCCGGTGAATCGGATTGTGATGACGCCCATGAGTTGAAGTGGCGGGCCACCTCTTCTGCCCGCGACAGGGTCCGATTGTAGATAAAGATCTTCCGACATCCCACCCGGAGCATCGCGTAGATAGCAGAGCGGGCCATACCACCCGCTCCAATCACCAGGCCCGTTGTTTTCAGCGGACTGATGGCGTTCCGGGGAGACAAATTGCGATTGATGCAAGTCATAATACCCACCCAGTCTGTATTCTCTCCATACCATCCCAGTACGGGGCCTGCTTGGTTGCGACGGCTCGCCTGCTCTTGTAACGGAAACATGGTGCCGTCAGCTCTACCCCGGAGTGGCATGACTGTGTTGATGGCCCCGATGGCTTCGGCATGTCGGCTTTTCGAGGCGAGCTTCTGGTACACCTGCTCTCGCCAGGGTTGGACGACACTGGAGCCTCCGAAATTAGGATCCCGTCCTAGTCGCTCTAATACCGCCAGCGAAGGAGACTCGGGGATTCTGTAAGTGTGGTTCATTCCGCAATGGCGGAAGGCAGCATTGTGCATAGCGGGAGACAAACTATACCCTACGTGGGCTCCGAGAATGCAGAACTGGAGTGGATCCAGTATGTAGCTCTGATACAACGCTTGCACTGCGTCTCGCGATGTGATTTGAGGATCCCGCTCGTCGCTCATAGTTCGTTTAATCGCCGGATGAGTCACGGAGGTGAGTATCGAATTGAAAACCTGAGAGGTGCGTCCAAGGCGGCCGATATTGTAAGCGATCAATGGCGGATGCGTCCCGGGTAACGACTGGACGCGGTTTTTGAATTTGAATACAGCGGCATTATCTTCGCGCTCTGTTGCGACACGGTGAATGCGAACCAATTGGCAATCGAGTTGCTCGACTTGCAGATAGCGGGAAAGGCATTCGTCATCCTCCCATGTCACATCCGACGACGGCTCAAACACATATTGGCCGACAATTTTGGTTGTTCCCCTGTTGCGGATTGTATTGCGCACCTGCGATTGGTCTTGGCCCACATCTACGGCCAGATATTCGACCGCCAGTCGCAGACCATGTTCCAATATGTCGAAGTATGCTGATGTATCATCATTCTGTGAAATTCCAGACGACGTCGTATCGACAGAAAGAAGAATAGGCGTCCGGGCATTTCTGCGAAGCAAGGATACTTGCTGGCTCAGGGTGTTTGCCATGTCTGGGTCCCAGCGGTCAACGCAAAGCTCGATGGCATCTCCCCCGGACTCAAGTTCAGCAAGATCGATGACCTCCTCAATCAGATCAGACAAACGAATAAATATAGCATGGGTGTAGGACCTAAGCTCCGGAGGCGTTTCGAGCAGGACAAAGGGCGAATCGTAGCTTGAATGGTTCGCATTGGCACCGGTGACCAAGTGGACAAAGCGGGTGAAGTCTTCCTTGGCTTCCTTGAGTTTGAAGGAATAATTCGCAGAACGTCGATCGGGCGACCCTTCGTCAGATTGAGCTGCTATGCTCGAACGATCTTCGATATTGTAGAACTCGAAATTGGAGCATGTTCGATGTAACGAATCACCTTCGCGGAGTAACCGAACAGACTGATCCTCCAATCCCAGCAGGTCCTGGATATGGCGAATGTCACGGACCAAATACACAACCGGATTTGTCGCACAGTATAGACGAAGATGTTCTTGGACGGGTCGAGTGAGACTGCCCAAACCACACTCGATAACGCAGTGTTTCCGATGTTTGTCGAGCATCGTTTTCAGAACTTCGATATCGCGACGCTGGAATTCCTGGCTCCCGTGAAGTTTGAGATACTCTTGTCGCGTTTGCCCTGTAACCTCTCTGAAGTAGTGGTCCTCGGTGATGAAGCGTCGCTTCAACGCAGTAGCGGCCACAAAGCCCAAGGAGCGCTTCCCGCACCCCCGGATGCCAACCAGCACCAGGGAAGCATCGGTGTCGATTTTTCGATGAGTGCCTTCACCATTGCGAAGGTTCATGATGACAGCTCGCTGCGAACGGCTTGTTTAGAGGATGGATTCGGCGGTCCTGTATAATTGCGACAGGCTCTAATCAGGATCCCATAGCTTCAATCAATTGTTAAAAAGAGTGCAAGCGCTGAATCCTTCCTCTGCCTACTATGTAATCAGAGGCAAAAGTCCACGACAACGGGATAAATGATGTCTTGCGATACTGGAGTTGGAGATATCGTCGCGGCAGTTCGCAGCTCGCATGCTGCGGGAATGGTGGACAATTGGCTGCTGCGGCAAGGATATGAAAGAGAGGTCGAGAGGGAGCAGTGACATGCGACAGCACTGAGCCACAAAATGGGCGAGATAGCTTCTTACTATGGAGTTCTACAGTAGTCTCGGATGTTGGAGAATCAACTGCCGTCACTGCATATGGCGGAATTCCAGCGATTCACCGCCCTCGGAGCTACCATCCGGCTAAGTACTTTGCCGATGTCATCCATGCCAAAGTGGATGTGTTCTAGGAGTTCCTTGTGCAGTACATTATTATTAGTTTGCGAAGAATGTGGGATAGAACCTGGCAAAGACCCATCGTGTTCTAGAGTAAAGGTGTGATGCAATTGGGGCCTGGGCAATATGGGCATTATGCGGGGAGTCCTAGCTCCAAATACATCGAATGATATCAATGGGCAAGTGTCTGTCAAGCAGAGATATCTATCGTAGTACTCTGAGTACTCCGTACTCCGTACTTTGGCAACCGTTATTATGTGCCGGCTAACTCTGCATGGCCATACTCTCCTACTCCGTGCTCATTCCCGATATACAGCAACACCTCATCACCACTACCGACCCGGGATGCCGAGAACAGTCCTCAGTCCAACACCGTGGGTCAAATCGAGACCAAGACTTCTGATCAGCAACGTCAATCTGAGTTCGGATCATTGGCTGCGGCTACTCTGTACGTTGGATATGGTATATTCAAGACGTCCAAATTGCTCAGTCTCACTTTCTCAACATTATTCTCACGATGACGACAATTTTCTTCTGTGGGACCTCCTACAACACCCGAAAGCGCCCATTCAGGATCAAGACACCAGCGGTTATATAACTAATGAATAATAGAAACCTCATTGAGTCTTTTTTTCCCTTGTTTGAAATGACCGATAATCGGCAGTTTCCTATAGTAGGAAAGGTGCATTCTTGATTGGCCGCTCTAGCAACTGGACCCCTCTGCACTCTGCTTTGTACGGGGAGATAGTAAGGATGCCAATATATTCATTCTCCAGAGAATAGACTGCCCATTGTACAATAACAGGAGAATACACAACACTACTTCTCTTGACTTGACATGCTACTACTATGTAGTACTCTTTTCTTGTACTCTTAGGTACTCCGTATAGTAGAAAAGTCCCACAGCATCGTGGAGAGTGTGGGGACGTCGAGTGTGGAGACTAGAGCGGCCACATCCCGGGCGACTCCCCGAAAACATCTCGGTCTCATTCCTTTGCCTCGGACGGCTCCAACTCTCGATTGAGCGTTGCTGGATTAGTGCTCGTTCTTAGAAAACTACGGAGCGTTCCGTCCTGCTTCTCAGGAGTACTCATCTTCTGTATTCCGCGTTTTGTTCTATCTTATCCTATTTCGGGATCCGCTCTCGGACAATACAGAACGAGAGAGAAAAAGAGCTGGTCAATCAGACTATCTCTGATTATCGAAGTCTCGTGCTGAGGTCGCTGCTTGGCTGGACGTCAGTTGCGTTGTTCCAGTTCGTTGGAGGCCTGCCGAGAAAAGCCGCTTTGGATACCGACATGCGGCCGCATAGTTTGGCGACATACGCGACAACTGCTCTTGGGCCCGTGACTACCATCCGGTCTTATCGCCATCGTTCTTATTCATTGCGACTCCTGTCTTTGGTCTTCAACTCTTCTGCCTTTTCTGCAACTTCATCAAACGCGTTCTAATCTTCTGTGTCGTTGGGACCCGCGTGTTCGAGTCCTATCTTATCTGTCGCCGTTTCTACATGGCGCTCTGTTCGCCATAACTAACCCTCTTCCATGGACGAGGGTTCCGATTCAAAAGCCCCTCGACGCAAGAGGGTCTCGAGGGCCTGCGACAGGTGTCGCAGTAAAAAGGTTGGTATACCTTTCCGCAGTGGAGACGATCTCCCCAGAACACGCCTCGCATCTCCTGTACACTGGTTCTGACATGGAATGGTAAACTTAGGATAAATGTGATGGGCTTCGTCCTGCTTGCTCAGCCTGTCAGGCCTCTGGTCAGACGTGCTCATATGACCCCAACGCGAAGAAGCGCGGCCTGCCCGAAGGTTACGTTCGGGGCATGGAGAAGCTCTGGGCCTTGTCGATCTGCAACATCGATGGCTTCGAGGATACTATGCTCTCCCTCTTGGGCACAACACCAGAATCAGCCGGCCGGAGGGATAGGGTGATGTCACTATGGTCTGATGATGGCGCATCGGAGAGTCTGCATGAGTCTTGGAAAACTAGCCGTCTTTACAGTGCACTCGAGAAGATGCTGTCGTCAAACTCGGAATCGTCACCGTCGCAGACCTCTGGGAAACGGTCCCGAGCGGATAGTGCTTCTATTTCCAGCAGTGAATGGGGTCTTCGGGTAGATCAAAGCACGACTCCTCGACTTGATGCGCCACGCGTGGTCTCCCCGTCCGCTTCTCCCCGTCTCAAGAGGTCTCGGTTATCTTTACCAACAGATGGTCGAGCAGCCTCGCAGCCACACAGTAATGGCCTTAATACATTGCAACTTCCTCCGCAGACGTCCCATCTACTGGACGTCTATTTCGCCGCCACCCATTCCTGGTTTCCGATCGTAGCGAAACATAACATCCTACGAGCATCCTACCTCTATGCGAACTCACCCCTGACCGTTACAAATGTATCCCCTGGTTCCGGCGATCATGCAGCACTATGGGCCATCTTGAGCTATACCGTTTCTCAGTCTCGGGCCAACCAACTCGACGGTCCATCGGGTCTCCTTGCGAAGACGAAGGGATACTATTCGATAGCGCAAAGTTTGATCCCGTCTGAGAACGAGCATCACGAATTGGGTCATGTGCAGGCGTTGCTACTATTGACCTTGGTGAACATTGGCCTGGAAGAGTGGACGGCGGCCTGGCTGATGAGCGGCAAAGCCGTCCGGATGGCTATCTCCATGGATCTTGGGACTTTAACCGACACTCGGCGGTCAGAGGAGCTCCGACAGGGTAAAGCGACTTTCTTGGGGTGTTTTGTAGTTGACTCCTTGCTGTCGTTCCGTCTCTCTCGGAGACCTTGTATGCACCCGCGGGATCTGTCGCCCGTGGGCTTGTTGGAAGAAGATGGCCTGGAAGAGTGGAATTCTTGGGCCGACGTCTTGCCGCCTACGGGGGCAGCACAGACAAAGAACCCACCACGGAGAGGTCCTCTTCTTGCTCTCAGCTGTTTTAACCGTCTGGTTGAACTGGCGAGTGTGCTGAATAAGATCGCGCGAGACTGTTCTGCCGGGCCGAACAGCCATGCGTTTGCGCAGCAGATGGTCTTGGAACTCAAACAATGGGATGACCACCTGCCTTTGGGATGTCGACTAATCGGCGCCGAAAGTATTTACCCGGAGCGGCATTCCGCTCTGCTTCCGCACCAGAGCTACCTGGGGTTGGTATATGCTGCTACACTCCTATGGCTATATTTACGTATTGCACCTCAGGAGCTAGGTCTGCATCACTCACAGCGGCCCGCCACCGAAGGCGCAAAGAAACTGCTGTATCGGGCGCTCCCGATGATCTCTCAGCATTTGGATAACTTTCCAATGTGTGGATTGCCGCCAGTATTCGAGTTGTCTCTGCGCACCATCACTGAGCAGGCGTTTGCGCTGCGTACCATGATCGAGTCAGATTCGTTTCCGTTTTCACAATGGACGGAGGCACTGGTCAAGCGGACGAAGGAGCTCACTCCGACGTGGCCGGCCTATGCCACGCTGCTTACTACTATCGAGCGTTGGTATCGGTCAGGCAGCCTGTCCGAGGTTCCATCCATGGCGATGCAAGGGACAATCAATATTCCAGGACTTTCCCCGGGGTCTGTGTCAATGACAGGAAGTCACCTACAGAGTAGTAATTCGATGCGGAACCCGGCAAACATGCCGGGAGCTGCGAAACAGGACTTGTCCTCGTCGATACTTGGTATAGCGATGCCTGCGGATGGACAGTATATGACTCCGAAGGACACTACTATGGAGAATGCAGACCTAGCAATGACAGATGCGTCATCTCTACAACAACAACAACAACAACAACAACAACAACAACAACAACAACAACAACAACAACAACAACAACAACAACAACAACAACAACAGGTCGATAGTGCTTCATTCGCAGAAAAACTTGCACCGACCAATGGGTTGCAACCTTCAACGCAGCCACAGCCGCCCACACCTGATTCGTCAGTGTCGAACCAGATGAGGACCATCCCCAATGACCGACCGTCACATTCTGAAAACATGGCCGGACCCAGCGGCTCCAACATAGGAGAACCGCAAGCATCAAACGGCGCCATCGATGCTATCTTCGAAGACCTCGCATATCTCGACACAACCGAATGGGCCAATAACCGCGAGGCAGGACTGAAAGAATTCGGCTTTATCGACGACAGCACATTCCAAGCGTTCTGTCACGATCCAGACCGTCTGGTGGGATCGCAGCCATTAATCCATCCGCCGTCTATAGCTGATATATGGCCACCACCGGGGTTCTTCCCGGAGACTTTTCAGGATAACTCGGATGACCGAATGGACACTTGATGGATTTGGAGACTCGTATGAGTTGATCAAAGTAGATAGTGGGTTGTAGACCCTCATGTAATATGATTGGACTGTATTTAAAAGTTCGTGTTTCTTTGGAATATGATACCCATGGTGAGTTGCAGTCTATCGACTGGCGTACGGAGTACTTTAGGTTAATACGTGGATAGATGAATAAAGAGATTTGAATGATTTGGAATAGACCACGGTATCTCGGTGCCTTTTTCTACCGAACTTGCTTTTCAGAACTCTCTTGTCATGACTATTAGGCTTCACGTGCAGCTAAGGAATTGGTTTGAAAGCCGGAAGACAGAGCACTGCACCTCCGGGCTGCTAGGCTCAGAACATTATCTGGATTGGACATCGATCAGTCACGAGTTCTCGCATAATCACTGCGATCGTCTTACGTGTCATACCGAACACACATATCCCTAATGCCGGTAAATTTGCACCCCCCCCCAAAACAGCATCATTCAGCTAGAGCTGAAAAACCTCTAAACTCGATTGCACCCGCAAAACCCGAGATCAAAAACACCGCCTATCGGGCAACTAATGGCGGACTCCGAGTCGGAGTCCGATGTGCCGTGGCTTGCATATCTGCTTCAACACTACCAATAGCATCATCATGCCAAGGATGAATTGCATACTTCATCGCCATCTGTATGCCAGCTGAATAAAATCCGATGATAAACAAACTGTGTGATGCTTATGCGTATGCGTATGCGTATGATACGTGTACTGTCGGGGTTATCTGGTGTGCGACATTGACCCGTCTATATAGACCCGTAGATCCCTGGATTATTATCATACGGAGTCAACTTTGTCTGTGAGAATTATTCGATTGTATCATTATGAGTTCGCCTTTGGATAACCCGGGTGCCGCTCTTGCGGGTATTATCACGAACGTGAGAGATGGTTCTCGAATTGATGTTTCTGTGAAGCTGACGACACTATAGCCAACAAGTCTGGGATTCATCCCGGTAGCTGTTCACTTTGACATCTTCACGATCCTTGCGCGGGCTGGAAAACCTATCACCGCTGAAGAGGCGACTGAGATTAGCAATGCGAAGATTCGTGAGAGGGCAAAGGGGGAGCCAGAGTTAGGTATGTCTGTCTTATCTGGTTCCAAGTGTCAAGCTAACAAGCGCAGGTGTCAAGTTAGCTGGTTTGTTTGACTTCTAATTGTGGTTGGATAGTTTCTCACTTTTATAGAGGACACACTCTACATCATGACAGGACTGGGTTTGGTCGACCAGGTCTCTGAGAATGTCTTCGGTGCGAATGCCATTACGAATCATTTGGCTGATTGGGAAGGCGCAACGAATGGAGCCCTTCACTTGTTCGTGAATCTCCCCGAAGAGTAATAGCACTGCTGACATCCCCAGTACCATCGAAGGCCTCCTCGCCGGAGCATTCACGTACTCGAAACTAAAAGACACCAACTTCGCCTACCCCTTCGCGGAAGCTGACACCCCAATGCAATACGCCCACAAACGCCTCGGAAATGAAGTCCTCTCCAAAAAACACACCTACTCCATCATGGCAGACGAAGGCCGAATGGACAGCTTCAACATGTTCATGGTCCAAAAGTTCTCCAAAATGCCCAAAGCCCCAGAAAATATCAAGTCCCTCGGCTACGACCTCGACGCCGCCATCTCCAGCGCCCCCAAGGACTCAGTCGCAGTAGTCGACATTGGCGGCGGCCACGGCCACACCCTGCTATCCTTCAAAGAAGCCTACCCCCACCTCAGCGCCGACAAGCTAATCGTCCAAGACTTCTACGCAACCGTCGACACAATCCCAGGCCTCACACTGATGAAATACAACTTCAAAGACACGGCCCCGCAACCCGTCCAAGGCGCACATATCTACTGCTTGCAGCACATCCTGCACAACCACCCGGACCTAGAATCGATCGCTCTCCTGCAGAAGACCGCCGCTGCGATGAACGATGATTCACGCTTGTTGATTATCGAAGCCACGAAGAATGCGAATAACGCGGCGATGCATGCGGCTATGGTTGCGCTTTATGGGGGCAGGGAGCGAAGTAGTGAGGAGTGGAAGCTTATGGCGGCGGTGAGTGGGTTGGAGGTTACGTTTGAGAGCTATCCCGAGTTTGGGGAGTGTTTGGTGGAGATGCGGAAGGTTCGACGCAGTAAATAGGAGCTTAGCTCGATCAGGATAGATTCATCGATTTGAGGATTTAAATGTGACTGATCACAAGGTAAAGGGCGAGATCGTTCTCCCTTTCTGGTATGACAAGGGACTATTCTAGGGATAGCCATAACCCTTAGTTGAAACACATATATCACTTAATGCTTGAATAGTAATAGAGGGCTACTGGCCCGAGACCCTTGCGTACAGCCAGGTCAATAGATCTATTCTGAAGAATGGAGTGAGATGAGCTCGCAATTGGGATCATTTCACGAGCGCGCACCGTCCATAACGGCTTTGAACTTGAGTTATCATATACGCGAGATCCATTGACACTCATTAGCAGATTGGATATGAATATGGCTCATTCGTCAAAAGATAACCAGCTTCTGTACAAGACCAGAATGAAAGACTAAGCCAAACCCCTCCCTATACCACTATTCAGGCGCTTCTACACCCCTTGCTACCTTTCCATCAATCACTCCGCTTCGCCTGCAAGGTTGTGACAAGAGGGATACCTGAAACCCTCATCTCACTGACAAGTCCTGACACATATACCAACCTGCCTTAAGTCTGAGGGAATTGTAGTCAGACTAGTTGGAGTATAAATAAAATGTCACGCCATATTGATTGTTGATTTTGTTATTTCGTGACTGATTGAAAAATGGAAGAATCAAGAGCTAGTGGAGACGTTGATATTGGCGAGTGAAACATTCATCATTATGTTTCTAATTTAACTAACTTGACTAGGTACGGGGATATTCATAGGATGTTGGGTATGTATGGCTTCATTCAAGCAAAAGATGACTGATGTACTGACAGTAGCCAGTTTCTCACTGCAACAGCTGGGATAGCCCTAATCCTACGATATGCACTCAAGACATGGGTCTGCTGGTTCCTGCCTCGAACCTTTATCCCGGATAAAGTCTGGGGATTGGAAGATCTCCTAGTCTTCGCTGGTTATGGCTTCGACATTATACAAATGACGACTGTTGAGTTGAGGTTCGAGTCTCGATCAGATGGACAGAACGAGGTTATTGACATTTGTAGCTCTCAATGGGGTCTTGGAAGGCCCTTCCAGTATCTGGAGCCATTTGAACAATCTCGGGTATTGAGATATGGGCATATTTCACAGCCATTTGGTATATACCCCGACACCCTTATAGATGCCTGCTGACTCCGTTAGGTGTGACTGCCGGAATGATCTCTCGTACGGGGATGGCTTGGACACTCTTGACCTGTTTCACGAACAGGCGAATGCGTCTGAGCATTCTTGCCTGCATCGTGGTTCAAGTGGTGGTCAATAGTGTTGTGGTATTGCAGACTGTGCTGCAATGTGGACCGTATCCTTATTTTCCAGTGGGTGCTTCGTGTTTTATTGTCAAGAAGTGTGCTAATTTGACGGGTTAGGCTAATAGACTGGAATATTTCCACTATATGTGGGATGCACTTCCAGCTGACGGATCAGTGAAATGTCAATCTCTCTCGGTACAGATGATAATAGCTTTCGTGCAAGGAGGTATCTACGTTCCCCCATTTTCATTTGGAATAACCTGCTAACAATGACAGGTGTCAATGCAACCGTCGACTTCTTACTAGCAGCCATTGCGGTGATCGAAATCTGGCAATTCTTCTTTCAAGTACTCCGGCAGAACCCCGGTGTATCGTTTTTATCGCAATTCCGAGATATAGGTGGCAGTGTACGAGTTCGCCGGGCGTTGCAGACTCTCGCAATTAGTGGTATTCTGCTTCTTGCAGGGGCTGCTTCGATTGTGAAGGCATATGTAGGTTATCCTTGATCGGGTTTGTTGGGCATGGCTGATGATCGTTTAGCACCTTAAGTCATCTGATGATAGATCGGGTTTTCCTTGTGAGTTTTCCTGCTGGAGCAATTCGTGGACTCAAATAAGCTCACGAATGTGACGTTCAGATAATATGGTTGATAGCATTCTCGGGGCAAAGTAAGTAGAAAGACATTCTTACATCTGTCAACACGCTCACAGACCACAGAATCGAAAACAGCAGCATCCTCCTCGCCTCATGCGCCCATACAACCCACCTCCTACGAGTCCTCATCTCCTACTACCGCGAAGGCCAATACACAGGCTACTTCTCAGACAACAACCGCGCAATGGAAATGCGCCATTGCCGAGACAAATCCGTCAGCACAGTCGACAGCGACATCACCCTCAATGACATGGGCTACTACCGACAATCATTTTTCGGCCAGTCATTCCCTCGGAGATATGAGAGTCAAGCGTGCAGGGCGACGCCACCGACACATGTCCTCAATGATTGTGTCACAGTGGTTACTGATTTTATTGTGGAGGTTAATAAGAGACAGTCGAGGGCTTTGCATTCTTCAGGAGGTCAATTCCAGCCTGGGAGAGAGAGTTTGAAGGATGAAGAGGCGAGGATGGAGAGATATATATAGTTTGGAAGGATTGGATTGATGCGTGATGATGACACGGCGTATATCGATGCATTCAAAATAGAGATAGAATAGACTCGATCATGCCCTACTATACTGGCGATATTCTCGGGAACTTTCCACTGTCTGCTCTAATGTGTCAAATATCTCGTCGACATCACGTGCAGATATGCCGCGGATCGTCAGCGGCGATATCAACGCGTGTCGATAACAAGAATACCCCCAGACAGTGCCATCATTCGAATTGAAGCAATGGCACTCACATTCCTTTCCCTAAAACTACCAGAATGAAGCGAACATCCGCCTTCCCTCTTCGCAGGGGGTCTACATCCTCCGAAGACGAACCCGACTTCTTCGACCTCCCCGAAGAACCGCTCCTAGCGATCGTGAAACGACAACTGCGACGCATTCGAACCTGGGTTGTTTTCGCCGTTATTCTCATCCTAATCCTCTACTACAGACGCGAACGACCGAAGCCGCCGCCGCTACCGCATATCCAATACAACCTGGTCGATTGGTCGCGCTATGCTTACAGCCAGTATGCGACATCTAGTGCCTATCTTTGCAACGCTGTGATGGTTTTCGAGGCCTTGCAGCGGCTGGGGAGTCGCGCGGATCGAGTGCTGTTTTATCCAGAGAATTGGGATACGGAGATTGCGGATAGGGATGATAGGGATAGTCAGTTGTTGGTGCTTGCCCGGGACACATATGGGGTGCAATTGGTGCCGATTGATCTGGATTTGATCAAGGAGGGATCAGGTAGGTCGATACGGAGGAACAAAATTGGACGAGAAGGCTGACAGATTGGGTTAGGCTCCGGCGAGTCGTGGGATAAGAGCGTCTCCAAATTGCTCGCGTTCGGCGAGACGGAATACAAACGGTTGATCCATCTTGATTCCGACATCACCGTTCTGCAGAACATGGATGAATTGTTCTTTCTACCTCCTACCACCGTCGCCATGCCCCGGGCGCATTGGCTACTACCCGAGTCCAGACAGTTGTCGTCCTTGTTGATTGTGATCGAACCGTCATACCGCGAATTCAACGCTCTCATGGAAACGTCCAAGGCAGCTATGTTCGGTCAGGTTGAGACCAACGCATCAGATACAACCCTGTATGACATGGAACTACTGAACAACCGCTATGGTGATTCAGCCATGGTGCTCCCCCATCGCCAGTACGGCCTTCTCACAGGCGAATTCCGTGCCGAGGACCACAAACGTTTCCTTGGAGATGCGCAAGAAGAGTGGAACCCCGACAAAGTCTTGGCCGAAGCCAAACTGGTACACTTTTCTGATTGGCCCATGCCCAAGCCCTGGGTCATGTGGCCGCAGAAGCTTCTCCCGGAAATGTTGCCGAAGTGCAAGAACAACCCTGGCACACCTAACGAGAGCGGATGTCGGGATAGACAGATTTGGAGGCATCTTTATGATGACTTTCGACGGAGAAGAAGGGTATGTGCATGTGTTGTACCATGGATCGAGGTCCGTGCTAACTTGTCATGATTTGTAGGACGTTTGCAAGATCCTGAGTTATCCTGCGCCGGATTGGCCCCCAGTGGAGAATCCTGAATAATTGCTTCCTTATAGTGTTGGGCGGCGCATGGGGCGGCGTTTTATTGTATCATAGAATCTTGGCTGACTGTATATTCTATAGACAAACTGTACATTATCAGATATGAATTGACTATCAGGTGACCTTGGTAGTGCTTATCATCCCGTGGTAACAGATACGGAATAATATACATGATGGATAATGAGATCACCAAAGTAAAGCCCTAGCACGACAAAATATCGTCCACGACCTTTTCTTCGTGCTTTACCCACTCGAGCATTCGGTTTGGGCCACCAAGCCCTCTCTATCCCTACCTTGCTCTGCCCTACCTTGCCCACAGCAGCAACAATGACCACCATCCTCGAGCAAGCCCAGATACAGAGCAACCCCGTCCTAGAGGCAGTGTACGCTCAACAAACAGCCATGATGACTGCTCAAAAGCCCGAAAAGATGCGGAGCACCTCGACGCAAGTGGTCACCCGCAAGCAAATCAAGAACAAGAACCAAGTGAACTCAGACTGCAATTGCTATGAGAACGAGACCGTGGACTACCGCTCTTTCTTCCGCAAGTCCGAGTTCATCATGTAAGTACCATTCCCTACAAATGGCCCTCAAGTCTGAGCTTGACGAAAAAAAAAAAAAAAAAAAGCAACATGGGCAGCTTCACCCTCCGCAACCCCCTCTACATGACCCCCGAACAATCCAACTCCAACCTAACCCACAAAGTCTCACGCGCCCGCAAAGCCGCCAAACACGCCCGCAAAGGCGCCCGCAAAGCCAACAAAGCCGCGCAAAAAGCCCGCGCCAAATCCGACAAGATCCACCTCAGCGCCGTGGCCGCTAGAGACGAGATCTCGCATGCGCAGCGGATGACTACGGATGCGTGGGGGGAGGTTGATCAGGCGGAGGCGGAGCATGCGACTGCTATGAAGTGGGCTGCGTTTGTGGAGAGGGAGGGGGAGGGGGTTGGGGAGATGGCTAGGGGGGTTAGGGGAGCGGCGAGGTTTGCGGGTGAGAAGGCGGAGTATTGTGACCATCGATTTCGTTGATTTTGCTTTTTGTGACTTTGGTTTTGGAGTTGGTTCTTGTGAGTTGAGGATTGAGGACTTGATTTTGAATGACTTGTGTGGTTTGCGTACGTTCGCGTTGGTTTCGACTTGTGTGTTAGGGTTTGTTTGCTGTATCGATGCTACGAGACGAGTTATGATTTGGATGTCGCTTATTGGCTTACAATATTATATTAAACAGCTTATGCTTACAGTTCAATTGATATTTACTATGGATCACCATTCCAACCTGTAACCCTAGACATCCATGCCAGCCCGGAAATCAATTCCTGGATAACTTATAAACAAAATGCCAGCTGAAACAACTCAAAAAATTAGTCCGGCCATTCATAACAAGTCCGGACAACAGACGCAATCCAAACGCGGCCGTGCCATTTGGTATGCATGGCGGGAGATCGGAATGTTTGTTTTCGTCCAAATTGGAAGGTAGCCCAAACAAGCGGACATATATTTATCGAATGCCAAATGCTCGACTCTATTTATTTGTTCCTTACATTTTGTAGCCATTGCTGTCACCGGATACTCGATCACCATGCGGACCACTCCGTTTAGCTATCTCGCCCCTCTGCTCCTCGCACTATGTTCACCAGCACTAGCCGGCAGTCCCCGCGATGAAATCTCCTTCAGCTGCCTCCCATTGACAATCGAAATGTCCGACCCGATCATGTTCCCCGGAAACGAATCAGACCATCTCCACCTAGTAGCAGGAGGAACAGCATTCCAGCGAGCAATGGCGGACGATACAGCTCGGAAGGCTATAGGGACGACATGTGGTATTGAGATTGATAAGAGTAACTATTGGGTTCCGGAGCTGTATCATCAGACGGAGGGTGGCTTTGAGCTTGTGGATGTTGAGGGGATTGTATGTACCGTATCGGTTTGGGTTGGGTTGAGGATTGAAGTGGACTAACGGGGTTAGGAACTGTATTATATGAACCGAGCGTGTAATTATACCGAGGACGCGACGGCTTGTGATTCGGAGCATGAGGTTGCGATTGCACCTCCTGATGGACTGAGAATGGTCGCTGGGAATCCTTTTCTTCGGTGAGACATGTCCGAATGAATGAAGAGGACAGGACGCTGCTAACATGCATGAGGACGTATAACGACTCAAACCCGGCCCAGCAAGCAATATCACACATGTGCATAAGAGAGGACGGATCTTCAAATGAAACGAAACACCTCCCCCAAGAGCCCTGCTCGCTCATGCGATCCCAGGTCTTTTTCCCATCATGCTGGGACGGGAAGAACGTTGACACCCATGACCATCATAGCCATGTACGTCCACAACCAACATTATAAGCCAGTAACTAACAGAATAGATGTCCTACCCCGCAATCGGCCACTACAACCAAGGCGTCTGCCCTCCATCCCACCCAATAGCAATAATCTCCATCTTCGCCGAGTTTCTCTTCAACACAAAGCCCTACCCCGACTACGACAACCTAGTCTATGCAATGGGCGACCCAACCGGCTACGGTCTGCACGGGGACTTCGTCAATGGTTGGACGGACTTAGATGCGCTACGGGATGCACTGGTGACATGTACGGGTGAGAAGGGTTTGACTGATCCAAGTTGCTCGGTTACGAAGAATCAGCATGGTGTACTGGCGCCGCAGTCTAGGCCGATGGAGGTGCATTCGCCTAAGGGGGAGAAGGAGGTTGGGCAGAATGGGCCGATTCCGAAGTTACCGGGGGATAATCCTGTGACGGGGCCTGGGGATGAGGGGGAGTGGGTGGGAAAGAAGAGTGGGAAAGAGGGTGGAAAGGAGAGCGGAAAGGAGAGTGGAAAAGAGGATGGGAAAGAGGATGGGAAAGAGGACGATGAGAAGGACCAGGACAAGAACGATGGCGGGTCCAAGCCGAAACCAAAGCCGAAGCCGACGTCGGAAGATGAGGGCTTTGGGAAGGGATGTTGGTTCTGTAATTGGGGAGGGTGGAAATGACCGGTTCCGTGATTTTGTACATATTTTTCATTGGACAGGATACATAAATGGCAAGTAGTTGAAGTACACTGGAACACTGCTGTTCGGGAACCATGTACCATTATCGGTGATCACATCTGTGTTGCAAGCTAGCTAATATAAGATACGGCATTAGAGGCATGAAGCTAAGGAGCAAAGTAAACCGTCTACCCGAGAACCTGACAGACATCCTGCTAGGCTTGTGGATTCATGTTAGTTGCCATTGCCTGCCTGCTGGGTGATCCTCCTTGTCTTATAACGAATCGGCTCAATGTCGTCCTGGGGGCCACGTTTCTTCTGCGCCTTCCCATGACTACCACAATCATGTACATCACCATTCAGCACCGGGCAGCTCAGAAGAACTCGCGAGAAGAAATCAAGCGATGCAATTGCCTGATCACCAAATGATTCCCATTCAGGGAGGCACAGAACAAACATCCATGCTGAGAGCCTATATATGAAAGAAGCAGAACAGGAAAGCACTTCTCCTTGGGAAATGTAAGGTCATAGCAAGAAAGTTCTTCCCATTCATCCCCATCCTTCATTTCGACTTTTGGCTGGTTGGCGCGGCCTCGCATTGCTGAAATCAAGATCGCAAGTTCTCCAAGCAGAATAGAGTCCTCTGTACCATGGATAGGCTGATAAGGAGAGACGATGACGTGGGGATACGGGTTATCTTTATCATCTAGAAGTTCCAAGACTAGCTCACTTTTATAGTTGGACTCGCCCTTGGTGCGTCGGATAGTCGCCATACAGTCCCGTTCCTGAAGCTCGGAAGAAAAGAGGATGACTAAAATTGTCAGCTAAGTCTCTGCGCTGCAAAAAAGGGCCACTTACTAGAGGTCCTTTAACATGTGCGTGGGATAGACATGTCCACTTTGCCTCGATATGTAGGCCCAATCCCGTACATAGAGTTCTATCTGGTGCGTGTAATTCTCCGCGCTTATGTCACGCTTCACGTTGTAGTCTGGAAACGGGCTTCCATTCTGTATGATAAAATCGTCGAGGAGATAACTCTGAAGTTATTCAAGGGACATTGGATTGAATGGGCCTTCAGAACCTAGGTTCTCGAAGTCGAACTGGCCAATCCGGAGGATGTTGTAGTCATTCAGGACATTGTCATCAACTTCGCCATCCTTGGTTATGTTTGCGCTGTCTTCCACGAGATTATCCCACAGGAAATCCAAATGTCTGCGCACCATTAGATTTTACAAAGGCATGTTGTGAGTTATTGCGATTTAGACGTAGAAGTCGCCAGAATTTTGTGCTAAGTCGCTCCGCGCAGGCACCTGTGCCAGGCACCAGCACATACCTGAGGCCACACAAAACATCATCACGACCTCTAAAGCTCGAGACCTGTGGGTTTCCAACCAGTGAATCACAGGCGGTCAAAAACTGCTCTGTTAACAGGATGACAGGCAACTAACGAGCATCGCCTGTCAATAGATAACGCACGTCAATGGCGCCGCGATAGACAGCCTCAGCTCGTGTACCCCATTCCCTTCCTCCACCACTGCCATACACCACGCTGCTCCATCAAACCCCCAAACTCCTTTACAGTTTCCACCTCAAACAGTCCAGCTTTAGATGTCTCCTCGGTTTTCTTCTTAGATCGCGACGGCTCAATTCGTCCACCGTTCGAACTGCCCGTCTCATCTGCCATGACATCCGGCCGCGTAACAAGTTGAAAGTCCTTATACCGCAGATTCCGCACAGTATTTACCCATGACTCAATAGAGTCTTTCTCCTTGGACTCGACGTACATGATTCCCGGACAGCCGCCGGAGCGAAGAAGGACGAAGCAGTTGTATGCGTCGGCAGCGCGTTTCAGGGCGGAGACCTTCTTGCGGGACGTAATATGGTGGGTTCGTATGAGGGCGTTATATAGCGTTGTCTGCATTCTCAATTTTTGAATTCGGAATGAGTTGAACCAGAACTGCTGGAATGTTGTCAGTCTACAGATTCAGTTCGTGGGTCCCCTTTTGTTTGCATTGTTTGTATATGATGTCATGGGGTCAGCGCTGAACAGCCAACCTAGGGCGTCGTATTATGTCTCTATCATCTGTTATCCGAGCTAGCGATATCTACTATACCTCTACTTTGTATACAGACGCCAATTTCAATGTAATACTTGCTACTCAATAAGGTCGTTTACTTAGGCCGGGAAGAGCGAGATGCAATTGAATGCGCAACATTGAAATGTCGACTCATAATAGACGGACAAAAAGTCCAAGAGGATTGAGTAATCTCTTTCTTAACTGTCCCGGCCCATCGTTCCTGGTGAAGAACATTCGCTGGTATGGAAGGAGCAAGCGTTCTCCGATGTTCTAACGTGGAATATCACCTCGAACAGGGACAAGAATCACCATATTGGACGCTATCATCGGTTTAGTTGACAGGCACTTGAGATCCGATGAACTCAATTTCCTATTTCGTCACAACCTGGTCACTATGAAATACCTCGATCTGGCATGAGACACGAGCATTTGAGATTCTTGCGGATATATAAAGCAGTTTCTTTTGTTTCTGTGTAGTGACGAAGACCAGAATCAGCATGACGAATCTATACGACCTATGCTGGTTGTGGGCTTGTTTATCGGGCGATACATCCACCCAAAATCACTGACGATACATACCATGTGTGTCTCTGCGGAAAGAGAAATCCTCTGAATACACGGGGACTGACGTGATGGTGACCTGGGAAATAAACCGTGCATGTATATCAATCCTAATTGCCCGGCAAGTTCTTTACGACAGACCACATTGCCATCATACTTCGACTTCGAACTTCAGAAAACAACCGACAAAATTGGCAACGACATGTCTTCCGGAGCCGAATTGGCCAGAAAGGTCGTCCAGGACGTCTCTAGTGACGACCTGGACAAGTGGGTGAGATCAAGCACGCTCACCAACGAGGTGGAAGAGGTAAGACACGAGGGACCTTTCAGAAGAACAATCACAGTTGACCGATAATAGTCGGTAAGGGGTCACATCCATCAACAATTGACCAGTTGGATGTTCTTCCGCAAGCTCGCGGCCGACTGCTTCCGTACTAACATTTCCCTTCATGGGTATGGAATGTATGTAGCATCTCCTCCCAACTCGCATCCCTAAAACTAACCCAACCGTACAGGCTCTGGGAACGATGCGCTCGAGAGTGTCTTATCGACATGCACTGGCTTGAAAAGTACCTCGTTGCACGGGGAGGCCGATGCAAGCCCACCGCAATCGAAGCCACCCAGATCGAATGGCCAGACCATCCCATCGAACCGCTTGGTCCCTGCATGGAAGCCTTTCGAGTCCAGAAGAAGCTAACCGATGATATCGTGCGGCTAATCGCACTCGCGGACAAGTGCGAGGACGCATCATTGTCTGACGCTCTCCAAACGCGATTCCTGCGCAAGAACACCAGACAGGTCAAGAATATGGGTGACCTGCTCCAGCAGACTGCACGGGTGTCGAAGCAGCCCGGAGTCGGTCTGTATCATTTGGATAAGGAGCTGCGGTGCCACAAGGGTATTATTCCTTGGACTTCGACTAATGATCCTGACTGCCAGGATAAGGGCATGGAGGAAGTTACGAGCTTGATTAGCGAGGGTCTTGTACTTCAAGGACAGACTAGCCAACATGGACACAAGTAGAGTTATTCAGTAATGAGATATTGTGCTAGCCTGAAGTGCAAGGCTAATCAGATCTTAAGCATTAAATATGGAGCTCGTCAAGTCCTGCCAATATGATAAAGAAACCACCTGCAGGAATAGAGTGTCAAGTATCAAATATAAAAACAGTAATGATGATGATGATGTCTTCCATTTTATAGAGCATTTGTCACGGAGCATAGACATTCACTGAGCATGGACATTCACTGAGCCTCGCTTAAACCCCTCGCACACATTAGATAGCTCGTCGCCGGCAGGCCTGCCTCTTTCCTTTTCTCTCCTCATGTTAGAATTTTGTCAGATAATCTACCAATATACTCATATTGCTCGAGACCGTCACA